AACGATCATGGTCGAACGAAATGCGCAGTTTGCTGATGTATCCGGTGCCGAGAATACACTTCATGCTGCACTTCATGACACAAAATGTTTCAAGAGTAACGACACCCAGGAAAGTGACAGGGAGAAGCGCCCAGAAATCAACTTTTACCTTGGCTCCGTTTGCGACTGTGGCGTGGGACTGTCCGTCAGAAAAAACAATCACCCGGTCAGGGGTGACACCAGCCTTCGCGAGTACAAGGGCAAAGAAATCAGTGTCGATGACGTTGTTAGACGAGCCACTGTCAAAAAGGGCGCTGGTCTGTTGGTCGAAAAGAGCAATGTTGTCGGTGAAGTGGGGCGAGAGTGGCCTACCAACTTTGTCGTCGTACAGCTGACGGTCAATGGTGGTGAAAACCTCCTGAAGACGACCGAAGGTGCCAGAGTTGAGCTCATACGGTGTGGACGAAATCACGTTGAGCGCAAGATCCATGGCACACTCCATGAGATCGTCCCCGAGCTCAAGAGCGATGGCTTGGATGTCAGGACCCGCAAGCCGGTGCCGCTGGTGACGGAAGTTCTTCCAAATGTACTTTGTGAGGTCAGGGCACACCTGGAGAAGCTCAAAAAGAACGAGGCCATCAACATCCGACGCCTTGAGGATGCGCTCAAACAAGTCTGCTTTTTCCGATTCCGGCAGAGCATGAATGGCCTCAAGCTTGAAGAGAGGGAGACGCCCAGCCTTCAGCAAGGCATTGTCGTAACGAGGATGATCTCTGGTGAAGAGAGCCTTGGAGTCCTCTAGGTCAGACGGGAGGCGGTCCAGAGCATCCTTGTAATCTTTTAAGGGTGCATTCTCCGCAACGGCAGAGGCATCGTGGATGTGGTTGGTGACACGGGTTCCAGGGCTCACGTAGTGGTTATCACCCAGACGGGGGGGGTGAACAGCCACACGAGAGCTGGGGACGTCAACAACAGCGCCCGTGGAGGATGCGGAGTCAGTCGGCCCCACTGAGGAGGGATTGGCTACAGCCTTGGTTCGCTTAGCAGTGGGGGGAGCAGCGGAAGATACCGTAGAAGAAGCGGCACCACGTTTTGTCGCTTGAGGCAAAGCAGGCGGGGGCATGTCTTCACGGACATCACGACGGGGGCTGCGTCGCGGCAACGGAGCCACTGGTCTGTCAGGGTGCTTGCTGTCGACAACAGTTTTCAAGGCGTTGATGTTGGTCTTGAGAGACTGTCGGCGAGGATCGCCTTCGGTGGCGTAAGCGGGCTCCATGAGGTCATTTCGGACTGTAGCGAAACACTCGTAAAGCTTCGTAGGCAATACTACGTTGTACTTGTTGAGCAATCGCTGGACCGCATCAACAAAGTAGACACGGCCGGCAACTGGGGAAGACGGGGCCATAACAGCACCTACAAAACCCGCTTCAAGCGTGGAGGCTTTGAACGTGCCCGGGGGAGCAGTTAAGCGAGCTACGAGCTGCATGAAGGCTGGGTGTGCCACAAGGCGCTTCATGTTGCCACTGTAGGAGCCTGACACAGGCGCATCAATTGCGTAAGTGACGGGGAGGGGTGTGGGCTGTTTTGCCATCTGGAGAATGTGCTGGTGGATTGCCTCTTTCGTGAGCTCAAGCTGGGAGTCAGTGGAGTCAATGATAGTGCGAGGCTCGTCGTAGGAGGAAAACGTATCAGACAGAAGATCTCGAGGCACCCCTCCTAGACAGACACTGAACGTGCCGGGTTGGAGAAGGTCCTGGAAGTCATAACCAGACGCAGATGAGTCAGAGTCATAGCTGTTATCCAAAGGCCCGCCTGGGTCTTCAACGTGTACAAATTCAACGGCATTTACGCGGCCAGCTAGGGCAGGACGCCACTGCGCATTGAAAGTTCGAAGTCTAGGCTCCATAAGCGGATTCGACCATTCCTTCTGCTTCCAGGAAGTGTAGAGAGCGCTCTGTTTTAGAGGGAAGTCAGCATCAACAGGCGATAGATACTTTTCAAAACCCTGGTAGCCAAGTCGGGTGAAAGACTTGAAGCTGCCAAGGTACTTGGCCTTGACCAAGGGGCTGCCTTCGGAGTCATCGCAGTTGACCAGTGCATGGGCAGTGGAACCACAGAAAACACAAGGAGCCTTGTCAGCTGCCCAGGAGGTTGAGGCATCCGAGGCACGGATTGTGGGTTTCTGCACAGTCTCAGTTGAGACAGGGCCGTCGGCAGGCTTCCTGGTGGAACGACCACGTCCCGCAACGTGAACGACGACTTTGTCAGGTTCAGGCGTGGAAGGCTCAGGTGGGGCGGAAGGCTCGACCCACATCCACACGTCTTCGAAAGATACCGTGTGCTGTCGCCATCTCAGAAGAGCCTCATCATTGAGATCGTCAAGTCGTTGGACATGTTGGGTGATCATCTTGGCGAGGGGCTGGATGAGCTCCGTGGCAACTTGATGGTCACGCTCAGGGTCGGAGTCCATGCCAAGGCTCAGCCAACGAGTGTTGTCACGAGGGATCTCGCGTCCGAGGGCGGTGCCCAGGTGAGTCGGAGCGAGCTTCTGCAACTGGAGACACCGAGAGAGAACCGGCAGAGGTGAGGAGGTCAGAGCGGTGCTCAGAGCAGAGAGGTACGCACGTAGTGTCTCGATAGAGAAAGCGGTGTGGTAATCTTTGAACCGGAAACGGAGTTCCTCCTCTTGTTCAGCAAAGGAGACAGCAGGTTCGTGGTCAAACCCGCGCTTTCGAAAAAGGTCCCGGAGGAGACGTTCGCAAGCGGTGTTCAGACGAGCGTGGGCACCTGGCTTGGTTGATTCATCAGCAGTCTCTGCTTCAAAGGTGCTTCGGAGTTGGAGGTACTGTTGATCGAAGAGGGGCTGCTTATCGTTGACACCGCACCAAAGGTGGAAAGCCCGAGCTCTGGTGCTCCAACGGATGTCATCCTGGAGTAGGATAAAGGTAGCCACCCGGGAATCAAAAGATTTGTAAGCGTACAACTGTTTTCGGAATTCTTCGCTGGACAAGGAGGGGTAAACCTCGTTCCGGATGATGGACTTGAGGGCGTCGGATTCTTTTCGATAGTCAACAGAACCCGTGTCACTGGCAGCAAAGTCCATGCCATGTAGGACAGAGTTACCCTTCTGGGGGGTGTCGGGTTCAAATTCGGAATCAGCCTTGCCAATACGGGAAATGCCTTCAAGGGAGCTGGTGCTCGGGGGTGAGTCGACACGCTTGCTGAGGTTCGCGATGGTTTCGTGCTGGGCCGACACCAACTGGTGCAACTTTTCAAACTCCCCAGCCTGATGTGTCTTGAAAGACTCATTTGACTGCTTGAGCTCGTCTAAGGCTGAGCGGAATTCCTTGGTATTAACCGCGGTAGCGAGAGTAGTGGTGATCTCCTGGTGGGAGAGCGTCAAGGCGTCCATCTTCGCGGTGAGAGCCTGGAACTCGTCTTTTGTTACTTTCGACATGGTGAAAACGAAAGAACGGAAAGGGAAGTAAAATACGCTGGTACGACAGTAAAGGCACAATAAATCTGGCAGGCTATCACTCGAAACAAAAACGAGGTGTCGTCCACCAGATGTGAGAAAATAAAGTGCTTTGTGCGTACCAGGGATAGGGTAGGTAGTGAAATCTGAGTTAGTACATCAACTCTAGACGATGGGCGTCGCCTGTGTAGAAGAACAATAACTCACCCGGTAACTAACACTATTTCTCGGTGGTCAATGCGTCAGAAGATATCAAGACGGTCCGTTTTGCGTTTAAGCCGAGTGAATGTTGCCTGCCGTTAGTAAATTTATTATGAAAAACCCCACTATGAATACATCAGCCTATACTGATATACCAAGAAGTGCAAGGGAGGTGGTCCTGTTCCACCTGAACGCGGTTCCCGACAGGCGGCGGTACTGAAGGGCTTTGTGAGAGAGGTAACGCCGATTCTCTCTGCAGTCGTAAGACCCAGGTGGTGTGTCCGAGGCAGTATCGCTTTCCCAACTCTAGTAACCTCGGTAGTGTGAGACACACTACCCCTAACGGTAGGACAGCCGGACGACGATGGCGCAGCAATTGGCGAACGCTGTTATAAAACAATTCACTTACGTGCAATGAAAGTTGTTTGGGCAATAAACAATAAATGTATTAGAGCCAGACGATAGACAACAATCCAGCAGATGATGAGCAGGAAAATTGAGTAAGATCGACGTGGCAAGAAGAGTTACAGTTACGCAGAGTTAATAAGGTGTTGGGAGATTAGAGTTACCCTGTCGGATGACTAACTCTCCAGAGCGAGTGTTACACATGTCAATCCCAACCAAGAAACAAAAATTCTCATTTCTCCAGCCCTAACCCTTCGTTACCGGTCTCGACCACCGTCCTTTCTATTTTCGGCCTAAATGAACCAGCCAGCAAGTCAAATTTCAGACAAGGAGTTTTCCAAGGGCCGAGTGTAGCGGTACAAGGCGCGGAGGCAAAAAAAGCACGTGACATACACGTGACATTTCGCGTGACATGGACCCTTCTCCACCCGTCGTTACCCAATGTCCGCCGGGACCTCATAATTTCTTCAGCGCAAACCTCGGGTACCTACATGGCCTGTATGCGCAGGACCGTTAGGGTTTTTTTTGGGAGCAAGTCTCGGATGCTCGTGCGGGACCAAAATGGGAAGTCTCTGGCACCGTTCGAAAGCTGACATTGCGGGGAGTGCGATGGTTCTGTTTTTAATTAGCTCAGGGGCCTGTATGGCTGTCAATTTGCAGATTGCGTTCCGTGCTGTGGTTCCTCATGAGGGTTTTCGCTTGGGGTATGAGTGGAGTCGTGGCGACTGAGAAAATGGAATTATAAAGTAGATATTTGGATTCTCCTCGTCATGGCGATTCTAGAAGTCACCCCCCTTGTATCTCTAGCTCTTGTATAGCACCAGACTAGCCCGGTTCCACCGGTTAGTACTAACTTCGCAACCTTGCATATCTAAATATACCTTGCATTGATAATCTCTATACGGCTTGCGAAACTCCATTCTACACCTCCACCGACACCATGAAATCGCTGCTCCATCGCCGCAGTCAGTCGGCCGGCGGGTCCGAGTCGCCCAAGTCGAAGAGTGGCTCGGTCACGCCCTCTTCTCCGGCCATGCTCATGTCTCCAGGCAGCAGATCACCCGACAAGAGTCCGCCCAAGTCCCCCGGCAGGCTCTCCATGAGCTCAGTGTTGCGTCGAATGTCCACCAGCAGTCCTCCAAAGAGCCCCGTCAAGAGCTCGAGTCCCCAGCGATCGCCAACTAAGAGCGGTAGTCCGTTCGGCTCGGTGTTCAGCAGCAATGTGGTCAAGAAGGCTCTGGCCAACCACTACCCGACCACGCCACGAATCGAAGAAAAGGGTCACAGAAAGACGCAATCTGCCGGTCAACAGTACTCTTCGATGATCATTGACGCAGAAAAGCAACAGAAACCGCAGACACACACCCGAACGCCGATTCTGCCAGAGAGATATCCTGTCACGCCGGTGATGCAGGCTAGCACGCCAAAGACACCAAAGACAGAGCCGCAGAGGAGTAAGTACACGGAAGTGACTGCCAGAAGATCAGGGGCGGATAACAAGCAGAAGAACCAAATACTTGTGACCGGGACTCGAATAGAGAGCGGTCTCCATACGGCTTCAACCTAGTGAAGACGTGTGATCTCCGACTCCATGTTGCTGTTGACAGTACTTGTTATGTGCAGCGAACGCCTTGAATTGCTACGAGTCCCTGATCCAACATTTGACAGCTACAATTGAAGATCTACAGGTCCTACGGAACCATTCCCATGATGTAGATCACTCAGTTGGACGTTCGCTCTCGGTAAAAGCCTACAACAATGATATACTAACACAGAAACATACGGAGACACCTTCCCCCAATTGTCCCCGCAGACCAGTAAACCTGCTTTGAGTAAGTATCAAGAAATGAGATGGAGAGGGTCAGAGGGGACCTATAAGCAACATGGTCAAGATGTCTGGAAGGCTCAAGGGAGCAATATTGAGCACCAACAGCATTGCACTACCAATCTCAGTCGCTGTTGCTATTCACCGCCCAAGGTTCTTATGTTATTGTACCTGTTCAATGGATAGAACCATTGTGGCCACCAATTGGTCGCTTCTGTCAATCACTTCCGTCTTGCAACTAACACAGAATCCCCCTCTTATAATCGCCACTCGTATCACCCCAACGCCATGTCAGACTTAGACCCGCTACAAAATCCCACCACGAGCATCAATCTTAAACAAACCAAGTCCCACACCTCGCTCAATAATCTCAGCCAGACAAAGTCATACACTCCTAATCTGAGCAGCACGGGCACTCCCAACCTCAGCAAAACATCCTCGCATCAAGTTCGTCCTCGGCGGCTGTCTGCTGATCTTAGACGTTCCTTCGATGTCAGACGAGCTGACTTCACCGCTGCGCTGGAAGAGAAGAAGTCTTCGCTTTCTCCAAATCTGAAGAAACTAAACCCCATCAACTTGATTAAAAGAAGGAGCAGCAAGGACGATTTCATCAACATTGCCGATGTATACGAAGACGCTGGAATCTACGAATCTCGCACTTCCAGGGAATATTCAGCACGAGACTTTTCTTCAAGAGATAACGTCTTTACGCCTACTTTCACACCCACGTCAAGCCACGACGGCTTCGACAACTCTCGAGAACTCCATCCCACGCCGGTGTCACATGATATCATCAGCTCTTCTCGTGACCCCGAAACTGGTGTCATTTACGCAACCCGAAAGTGCGAATGGGGAACCAGTCCTGGAAGTTCCAAGACTTCGGTGGTGATGGAGTCTCCAGTTATCACAGCTACAGAGCCTCAAGTGACTCGCAAACATACGAAATCAAAGTCTGCAGTCATCACTAATCCACTGGAGATTCCTGATCAGCCCGTCGAGTCGCTGCGAGTGGTTAAAAAGTCGTCTGGCGTGGGTCTCAACATTCTGATGGGAGGAGACATGTCCCGAGACTCTCTTGTACGCGATTCTCCTTCTTCTCGTGACTCCCCTAGTCGTGCTTCGTTCACGTTTCCCTCTCGCGACTCTCCCTCGCATGTATCATTGGCCCGAGATTCTCCTTCTAGGGCCTCGTTTTCCAACGACTCTCCGTCTGTTATTCAGCCTCGGAGTTCTTTCTCACGAGAACTCCCTTCTGTCCCTTCCAGACGCGACAGCAAGGTTGCTTCTCGACGCCATTCGGCCATTGGAATAGACACAAACACATGGGAAGTTCCCCCTCGTGACTCGCGACGAAACAGTAGAGTTCTCAGTGAGATTATTGCGGAGTCAGACCTCACAGCTATCTCCGACGCTGCTGAATCAGCTAAGATAGCAGAGGCAACGAGGATTGCCGAGGCTCGAGCGGCAGCAGACACAAAAGCTGCTGAATCAGCGAGTGAAGCGGTGAAAGCTCAGTCAGCTAATGTTGATCCAAGTCCTTCTATCGACTTCGAGTCTCATGATACACTGTCTCATGACACACTTTCTCGAGGACAAAACTCGTTGCGTTCAAGTAACACTGGCCACACTTCTTTTGAGCAGGAACTCGAAGGTGAGCACGTGGTTGAACACATAACTTCGGGTAGCGCGATCCCTGATAATGTGTCCATCTCCCAATACACGAAGCAGCTAATGGCTCAGGATCGCGACAACTCATTTGGTGGGCTTTTGGAAGACGATTCCGACTCTGCCTTTTCTTTTGAGGACGACGATTTTGGAAGAAACTCTTCTGTGCGTCTACACAAGAAACCTGAGCGGTTTACGAGCCATGACTTGAGTGATGGTGAAGAAGAGTATGATGACTATGACGGGTACGATGACGATATGTACGATGACGAAGGCATTGAAGACGATGCTCATTTGTACGGAGGCAATGCTTTCCTGGACCAGTCATCGCCTAAAGACGAGGTTCCTCCTGGAGATATTCTTCCCAGCAGTCTTACCAACCATGGATCTAGAATCTCACGCGGAAAGAGTCATGGACGAGGTTTGAGTGGTAGCAGACGTTCTAGCTACTCGAAGGACAACTCTAGTGGAATTACTCGTTCTAGACGTGCTTCCGTTGAACAGGGTACCGACTCAGCCCATGATTCTCCTGCTGGCATCGCTGCTTCCTCTGTCACGTCCCCTGCTAACCACGAGCGTCATAATAGTCACGGTAGTATTGGTGGACGAAGCCACGGAAGAAAACACAGCAAGCGATTAGCAAGTTACCACAGTAAGGATGATTCTACCTCTACTACTGCTGACTCAATTGGACCTGTTGCTGTGACTGCTGATGATCCTGTTTTCCAGCGTCAAAAGTTACTGTCCCAGCAGTTGTCTCCTGCCCAGTTCAAGTTCCCCCCCGACTCAAGTGAGACTCTTGAACTTGATTTTTCAGGCGAAAAGTCAAGAGATGGTTGCCATGCTCGTGATCTGAGTAGTAGGTCACTTGGCTCGATTACTTCTCCTGATGTCAACCAGAACGCAGTGTCAACTTCTTCTCCGTCTGTATCTCACTCCCGCCAGTCGTCGCGTGACAAGAGACGTTCGTACAAGTTCCCTCCTGCTCAGGAAGAGGATTTTTCGTTTGAGTCTGCCCACGACTCTTCGTTAAACCATACCATCACCGAACAGGACTACGAGGACGACGAACACGACTCTACAGCGTTTGCCTACCAGGAAGTTGAAGATGCTCTTTCTGAGATTGAGTCTCTCACCCAGTCTGGATGCAGTTCTCCCATGAGATCCAGGTTTGAGATTCCGTCTCTTGGAGAAACCCTAGGCCATGTGCGAAACCTGTCCAATCCGAGCTACGTGGGAAGCCCTGGCCATGCTCGCAACCTCAGTCACGTGAGCAGCCCCAGTCACGTACGAAATCTGAGTCAATTCAGCAACCCCAATTCTACTGGTCATATTTCCAGTCCCAGTTTCGGTCAGACAGGCCACATTCGGTCGGTTTCCGGCACGCAGGCGATTCAGGAACCGCTTGAGATCGACACAGGGTTTACAGATTATGATCAGTACGGATTTGGGTACCCCGAGGGCGATTTTGAAGGGGGAGGATACTCCGACGAGTACTACGATGACCTCCTGGATGAAGCTAATGCGGTTTCGGAAATCTACTACGATGAAGAAGATCCAGTGAGAAGTGATAGAGGATACAGTAGTCGTCTGGAGCGGTCCCACAGCAACAGAAAGCTGCCTCGAAAGGTGATTCACGTCACTGAACCCAGCAATAATGTGGTTGAGTCTCGTGAAGGAACAACCACCCTGTTTGGACTTATTAATGATGAAGCCGAGGAGGCGAGAAGTATCGTCACCACTCCTGTTAACCAGCAGGGTCCTTTTGATCCGATATCTGGACTTCCCATTCCTGGGTATGTTGAATTGACTCCTATTAGTGAGCGGTCATATGATGGAGATTCTCCTTATAGAAGGTAGATGAAGAGATATTTATTAATGCATTGATTTAATACCCTCGAGCATATAGTCAATGTCCACCACAGTAATACTCAATAAATAAATTGTCTATTTACGCCAATGGCTATAAAAATGCTAAGTCTCTCAGACACCCTCCTTCTCTCTGAGAATCTGGGACCGAGAATGAAACAGTCGTCTGAACGCTCCGGTACCCGTCGTGGAAGACGCATTACTCAACTCCTTTTGCATCTCATGGCCAGAAGAGTCCTCTGAACTCGTTGAAACAATACTTCCCAGAGTAGACACACTAGTAGATGAAGGAAGTCTCGTCGAAGAAGTGCTGTTTCTGCCAAGGTAAGGCTGCGGCATAGACCCTCCTGAGTTGGTGCGTTGATGGCGTGTAAACGTAGGCAATGAAGGGCGTCGTTGTTTAGTTGGAGATCTGTCCATGACGCCGTTTACAAGCCCGTTGACAAACCCCAACCCTATCCGATCGGGTTTTGAGGGGGAAGTGTAGGGGGATACAGACGATCTTGCACTCTGAAAGCTTGCAGGAGACGGGTTGGTCAAACTGCCCTTTCTGGAGAAGTTGGGAACCCGGTTGATGCTCCCAGAGGTGCTTCTTTCACTGCCACTATCCTCTTCGTAGTTTCTGAAGGATTGGGTCGATGCGGGAGATGAAGAACGCGAGTTTGGAGCACTACTGCCCGTACTCATGCCTCGTCTTCGAGAGGAATGCAGATTCAGATGCTGGGTAAAGTCCGGAGGTGGAGATCGAGGTCGATATGCCGAAGAGAATGGAATTGACGACAGGCGATTGTCCGATGGAAGTTCTTCGGAATGAACAGACGAGACGGACGGCGATCTGGACATCAGAGTCTGCTTGGGAGATAGGAAGTGCGTGGGCGAAAACTCCTCCACGGAAACGCGAGGGGAAGAGAATCCACCATTGTTGCTTCCACCATCCACCAACGGGGTCATTGGTTTGATGCTGGTGGCAGTACTGTCCATGGAGAATGTTCTTGTAGAGGTGGTGAAGGATTTTTCCCGCTCTCGTTGCTGCTCGCGCTCCTTCTGCTGCACCAACCGCTGCTGATGTCGAGATGCTCTCTCTGCGACCAGCGCTCGAAAGTAGTCCTCGATATCCTTGGATGCACAAAACTGCAGTGGAGTCCATCCATCCTGATTGGGGGTTGCCACATCAGCGTCTCGATCAATCAGCGTCTTGATCGTCTTCAAATGCCCATATGCTGCGGCCATGTGTATGGGACGAGTTCCTGAGGCGTCAGTGACGTCAATGTCCGCCCCAAAGTCCAAGAGTAGCTGCACACAGGGATTGTGACCGTGCATAGCTGCCACAAAGAGAGCAGTTTGATGCCGGATGTCCTTCCAGTTGAGTACCCGCTCCAAGGATACGTCGGTTTCCATTTTCGTTTCCTCCACCTTGGCCTTCATTTTGCTTGAGCCGTTGGACAAAACTGAGCTCGCTCGAGAACGAGACTTTATGCTTGCAAGAGTGTTTTCGCCGTCCCAAGTCATTTCCGGTGTGGATGGTGTGGTTGAGACGGTTGTGGTGGACACAGAAGTGCCTGTTTTGGATGTCGAGTTGGTGGCGTCATCTTCTTCTCGACGAAGAGAGAATTGTTGTTGTTGAGCCAAGAAGTGCACCGTTTGCTCGTGGTTTTTGGACGCGGCCAAGTGCAGAGGCGTGCGCTGCTCAAAATCCAGACTGACTTCGACCGTATCATGACCCTTGGAGACCAGATAGGTGCATATCAGGTAGTGGCCGTAGTATCCTGCGTAATGGAGACTGGACCAGCCGTTTTTGGGGTCGATGTTTTCCAGCAGGTCTGGAAACCGGCGCACCAGTCGTGAGACCACCGCCAGGTTGTCGTTGATGATTGCTTGGCGCAGTCGTGTGCTTGGGTCGAGCATGGTTGGAGTGGGTGATAGGTAGAGCAAGCTGTGATTCTGTTAACAGAGAGAGTCGGGCCAGTGGTTTATCGTTTCTCACTTGTCGCAGTGCAAGCCGTGGAGCAGTTCAAGAGCAGCCTGTACACTGAACACTGAACACTGAACACTGAACACTGCACTAACTACGATGTCTTTGGCGACACAAGTGACAGGTGCGATAGATGCCAACACAGATGGAACAAGAGATCTTCTTTTCTTCTGTTTGGTTCCGTTGCTTCTCGTTCCTTTCGTATAGGCCGTCTAGCTGTCGTTGTTTCGGTCGTGTCGTACTTGTACTGTACCAAAGTCGTGATGATACTGCACACTGGCTGGTTGGGTGTGGCTGTGGTTGCGTTTGCGTTTGGTTTGGTTTGAGCGCAACGTGGGTTTGTGTCGGGTGCAAAATGCTTGTTATAAGCGCCGGCGGTCGTCGCTGGAGGGCGTGAGTATCGTTTGTCCGCCGCCTCCTCTGTCGTCTGATCTGGTCAGCTCACGTTGATGCACTGCGCTACGGTACGATCCCAACTTTATTTTGCAGCAAGTGCAACGACCCGCTTTTGACATGAGCTATAAGTGAGGGATAAAGTGGGAGGAGGGAGGTGCGGGGGAACGGGAAGGAAAATGCTGGGAAAATGGGGGGTGGGGATTGTGCGAATAAATCGAGGTAAAATCGCAAAGAAATTACGCAAAAAATGGTCCACGTTGGAATGGCTTCTCGGTGCTTCTTCTAGCTTCTATTTGCGACCAAAATGCCTCTAAATACTACTCTGGTGGGTCGTGAACATGGAGCGCTAATTAGACGACGGCTAACGTTGGTGATAAGTGGAGATGAGTTCAATCGCTGTATGACTGCTATGAGTAATCTATTCACTTGACATTATGCCATCACTTTTGGAGTCACCCCGTACACACACACGCGCGCACACTCTGAAGTTCCTTGCCAAAACTTCTCCACTACAACCGCCGCCTAGTATCCGTCCAGTTCAGCCCAGCTCAGTACAGTCGGTTGGCTATGATAGCCTGTGCGGGGTGGACGCGAATACGAGCAGTTGCCGTTTCAAGAAGACTATTAAATGGGGGGTTATTGCGGATGGAATAGAAAAGTGGGATCGATTCAAGATTGGCAGGACGTCATTGTGATAACAAGTAGGATCTCGGCGAAAATCAAGTAAGACTGACAAAAACACTTGATGGACTGGTTACATCAAAACACTTGATGATAATTGGTTCGCTCGATATAACTTGTTCGCTTGATATAACTTGTTCGCTCGATATAACTTTTTTGCTCGATATAACTTGTTTGTACATGTCTCCACCAAGAACAGACTTGATGGCAGTTTACGGTGCAGCATCCAGGTAGTGACCAAGTCTTCCAAGCACCACCTATTTGACCCATGTTGGGGATCTACTTACTTGTAGTGATTCATATGGACAACTTTTTGCTTCCATACAATGCAGATACAAGTAACCAGCACCGTTTAACCACCATGTCGAGTATATTCAATCTCATCATACAGTATCAGAAGCATTATAGTGCACTTTGGAGTCTGAAAACCATGTGTCAATTTGAAATAAAACACGACAATCGATACAACTGCCCATTGACGTTTTTCTGGAAACTGCCCGTTTGATTCTCCTAACGACCGATACAAGACCCGCTTCTGTCAACGTTATGAATCTTGAAATAGGAGAGTTATTCCCCTATTCAGACACCCCTATTGAGACAGCAGTGTTCCAAGAAGATCGTCTTTTGTCTGTCACCATAAACGATATTATCTTCCATAATTAATGTGACAGCTATCATTTTGAGACTACAAGTAGATCACATGTTATGGATGGACCGCCCCGCCCCTAGAGACAGGTCCAGACTGTTCAAACGAAACAGGGTATTTGGAAATGGCAACCACTCCGGTAATTTCATTTCAATCACGCGAGACGACTCAGATGTTCTCACGGCAAAGTTCCACGCCGCCACTGCTTACGTAACGACCACCATGGACGGCAACACGTTTTGTTTTATTTTCTACGCAGGGGCATATTTTTTGAGAATAGGGCTAATCAAGCGCCAACTCTGTTTTGGCAGTTTGTATTGTGGGCGGTTTTTCAGAGAGGCAAAAGCTGATCATTGGGAGACAATTGGGGGAAAAAAGTCGATAACGGGGATTAAAATGTTGGTGGCACTATCGATTGATTTTGCCTGCCATTTTTCGGTCATTATCTATCCGGATATGGGTTTTCGGCACAACCTGTCCTGGTTGATTGTCCTTTCGGAGTTTCTTTTCGGGAGTCTGGCTCCGTACTATGTCTCAAAAGATCGACGTGGGGTAGTAAAAGCAAATAAAATGGCATCAGTATGGCAAAACGACGCGAAAATCGAGAAAAAATGGCCTATCGCTGCACACCATCGTCTCGCACGAGTGCCGAGCTTACTAATATGACGTAATTGTGTGTACCTGCAACCGTGGCTTATTTATCCATTACTGCATCCGGCTCTAGATGCTGTATGACCCACGAGTTACGGAACATGGAGTGCGACTGCTGTAGGCGTGGTTGTAGTCATAGTTAGGTTTCGGCATAATGTACAATGGCCTCTCCAAGGGCATTTTTGGGCTAAAAATTCCGGTCCGGCCATTTCTTTTTCCATTATCCAACAGTATCGGTGGTGTTGCTGCTTCTTTACAGTGTTCTAGCAGGTGCGTGGAACGCATAGAAGGGATGGAGAAGGTGGAGACGAGGCGATATGTGAATTCAGCAGGGTTGCAGGGAAGCGGTACATTGTTGATAACGGCGAACTAGCCATGATTGACTGTTTTTTGCCTGTGTTTTTCTGCTTGTGTTTTTTTCTGTTGTGTTGTTTTTCAATTTTTATTTTTTTCCCCGTCGATATTACTTTGCCCCTCGTCTCACAGTTGCAGCCAAGGCTAAGCAGAGCTAATATTAGTTGGACAGCACCAGTACGAGCGTCGCCGAGTGGGTAATATTATCCAGCGGTGACAGACGTAATGTGGCTGTAGTGACACAGACGCAATTTCGGTTACTCTATCTTGTGGTCCACGCTCAAATATAACTCTTCCTCCTCTTCAGTACTCTTACCCAAACGCGCACTTGACCATGTTCTCGCACTGTGCTGCTTGAACCACACACAGTCTCTCTCACACACCCACATAAACTTTCACTTTACCAGCCCTGCCGAAAAGTGTATTTGTTAAACGTCACATCCTCCGTTCTCGAGTCTGTCCAAACCACTTGCACATCACAAATGTCGAGTATCTTCAAAAGGAAGAACAAAAAGTCGCGAGACTCGGTTTCCAATGGGCCGGCGTCTCCCGGCACGTCCGGAGGCGCCTCCAACGCCGCGGCGTCGCCGTCCACCACGTCTGGCGGGCTCGGTGGTCTGGCGTCTCAGGCCCAGAACCTCGCCTCCAAATCGCAGCAACAGGTGCAAAACGTCCAGCAGCAGGGCCAAAACGTCCAACAGCAGGCTCGTGACCTCCAACAGCAGGCCCAACAGCAGGGCCAGAACATTCAGCAACAGGCGCGTGATCTTCAACAACAGGCCCAACAGCAGGGCCAGAACCTCCAGCAACAGGCCCAGAACCTGCCCCAGTCTGCCAAGGGTGGCTTCAGCGGCATGCAGCAGGGCTTCAATGGCGTGCAGCAAGGCTTCCAGAACGCCTCCTCCCAGGCCCAGCAGGGATACAACAATGCCTCGGCCCAGGCCCAGCAGGGATACAACACCGCCCAGGGCCACGTCCAAAAGGGCATGAACGCCTTTGGTGGCCAGGGACACGGACACGGCCCCAGCCAGGGACCCAACCAAGGACCCAGCCAGGGACCAGGTCCTCAGTACGGACCAGGAGGAAACTACTCCCATCACACTCCGAACGCCGCCCATGGCACAGGTCCCACCATCCCGGGAGCCCACCACAATTCCGGTATGGGGGGATCACCTACCACCCCTCAGATGGAGGGCTTCAACACGCCTCAGAGCCACGGCCGGTCCCCATTCCCCCAAATGTCTCCCCAGTCAGGCAGATCGCCCCAGAGCTTCTCGCAGGCCAAATTTGGGGCTACCGGAGGAGCTGCCGGTGGTGCTGCTGGCCTTGCGGCTGCCAATTCGCAGTCTCCCGGCCCAGGCCACGCGGCCTCGGGTGCTATTACCGCCTCTCCTGGAGGCTCTCCCAACCACCCTTGGACCAAGGTGCCCATCACCAACGCTTCGCCCTTCCCACGGTATGGCCACGCGTCCAACTACGTGGCTGCTCGTGACGGCGAGATCTTCGTAATGGGTGGACTCAAGGGTGCCGACGTGTTCGGCGATTTGTGGGTAATTGAAACTGGTGAGTATAGAGCAGGGAAACAGGGATTGATGGATTTGTGTGGTTGATCTTCTTTGTGCATGTGAATTGCTACTGGCGGATCTTATCTACTAGCAGTGTCCATTGGTGTGAAAATTGGTGGTGTGTTGCATGTGAGATCTGCATGCCCACTAGTACGGTGATGCAGTCTAGTTATGCGTCTAATCAACTAATTTCACCGGCGTAGGCTCAGCTGAAACCGTGAAGCGCACAGAGCGTTTTATCAAATATACAGAGTATGGTCGCTTTGCACAGAGACCACCATACACACAATGTTGTTGCCACTCTCCTTCTACGAAACTAACACAGACTCAATGGCAGGATTCCTGCTTGAGACCGAGGGATGTCCCTCTCCTCGAGTCGGCCACGCCGCCCTGACTCTTGGAAACGCCTTCATTGTCTTTGGCGGAGACACCAAGGTGACCGACACAGACACCCCCGATGACAACCTCTACCTTCTCAACACCTCCACTCTCAAGTGGACCGTTGCCAATCCCAAAGGCTCACGACCCGCTGGTCGATACGGACACTCTCTTTCGACTGTGGGCTCCAAGCTGTTTGTGTTTGGCGGTCAATTAGATGACTACTTCTTTGACGATCTGGTCTGCTTCGATCTGACCAAGCTGCGATCTCCCGAGTGCCGATGGACCACCATCGAGCCTGCTGACGGTGTTTCTCCCCCTCCTCGAACAAACCATACGGTTGTCACTTACCAGGACAAGCTGTACATGTACGGAGGTACCGACGGCCAGCTATGGTACTCCGACACATGGTGTTTCGACCCCGTGACCAACCTGTGGACCCAGCTCAATTGTTCTGGTTTCATCCCCACTCCCTCCGAGGGCCATGCTGCTACTGTTGTCAACGACATCATGTACGTGTTTGGCGGTCGTTCTTCTAAAGGGGATGATCTCGGCGTGCTGTCAGCCCTAAAGCTGTCTTCCAAGCGGTGGTTCACGTTTGAGAACATGGGCCAGGCTCCTGCTCCCCGGTCGGGTCACTCCATGACCGCCTACTCTAGCCATAAGGTGCTGGTGATGGGTGGGGAGTCGCACGATCAGGACGACACTCATGTCTATGTACTCGACACCAGCAGAATCAAGTACCCTCCCAAGGCCTCTGCCGGTGATGTGGGCGACACTTCTGTCCAGAGCATTTCTTCTCTGAGCAGTCAGAATGCTCCTCAACCTGGAATCCAACCTGGTCAGTCCGGTCTCCAGTCTGGACGTCAATCTCCGGCCATGCAGTCCCAGTCCTATAGCCAGACTGGCCCTCACCCCCCAGCCCCTGGAGCTATACCTCTTCCTGGAATGGTGGGTGCCGGCGCTATGGACCGATCTTTCGATCGGTCTTCTGCCTCGGCTGGTTCGGCTACCTCGCCTAACATGGACCGATCCATTGGTTCCAACGATGCCCGTGCTGACAGATCTATCGGTTCAATCGACGACGAGAAGTACGATCGGGGATACATGCAACCCGGGCAGGTTGACGACACTCCCGCCGGACCTAGTCCCGAGACCCACGGACACGGTGTGGCTGCTGGTGTTGCCGGTGCTGCTGCTGGTGTGGCTGGTGCTGCTGCTGGTGTGGCTGGCGCCAACCATCTGTCCCACCGAACATCCAACCTCGGCTCTAACTCGGAGGAGTTTGAGTCTGCCGACGATGGCCGACCTATCTCTTCTGAGGCCGAGGCTGATGCTGAAGATGTGTACGGATCTCCCTCAGGAAAGATTCCTGCTGCTTGGCCCCAGGAGGTGAAGCAAGAGGAGGAGGAGCCCTTCCAGCACAAGGACAGCTCTTTCCACGACGCTTCAACCCCTCGAGACGAGCGGGAGCACCCTGAGTATGGTCAAGAGGCTGGAAAAGCTGCTGTTGGCCCCGACGCTGGTTACAGCGACGCTTCTGAGACTGTCGGCTACTCTTCCGCTGCTCCCAACTCAGCAGGTGCCACCGCTCCCACGGATTCAACTCCTACCGGCTACGACGACTCGGACTACTCGCAGCACACGACTCCCCAGCACTCTGCTGTGGCTTCTCCCGTGAACTACACCTCTCGTGATGTGGACTCTTCCCACAGTATCACTCCTGGTGTGGCTGCAGCATCTGCAGGTGTTGCTGGTGTCACAGCTGGTGTTGCTGGAATGAACATCCATCAGAAGGCAAACAACGTCAAGATTGAGCCCAGCGAGCACGAGCGGGGTCTTGACTCTGCGCTTGAGAGCAACCCCGATACAACCATCGACTCTGAGGGCGACGTGCAGGACGTGATTGAGCAGCTCAAGGCCACCAACTCGTGGTATGAGTCTGAACTGACTGTCGCCAAACAGTCTGGATACACTCCTTCCAAGAACCCCGTGGGCGACATTGAAAAGGTGCGTCGACGGTCTCTTCGATACTCTCGTGACCAGGGCGCCTCTCTGTCAGAGCGTGACATTCTGGTCCAGGCTCTTGTTGAGGTGAAGCAGGAGCTCCAGAACGTGAAGAACGATGTGGCTCGACAGAGCGAGGAGGCCTCTCAGAAGCTGAAGGCCCTCAACGACGAGAACCAGGAGCTGCGGGCCCATATTGAGTCTGGAGGGGATGGTGAGAGCGGAAGCCGGGCTCTCGGTGCTGGAGCTGCCGGTGCCGGTGTCGGTGCTCTTGCTGGTGCTGGTGTTGGAGCTGCTACTTCTGGTGGCGATCCAGAGCTCGCTGCCAAGCACGCCGAGCTGCAGAAGAAGTACAATCTTCTTGTTGGGGGAGGCGCTCCCTCTGCTGACAGCACTCGTGACCTTGCAGATGGAGCTTCTGCTCCTTCTGGAAACGTCCATCAGCTACTCAAGCAGGAACAGAACAAGAACGCTTCTTTGGAGTACGAGCTCGAGACACTCAAAGATGAGCTGGCGACCACCCAGGCCAAGTGGAAGGATGTTGGAGGCACTGCCAACGACCATGTCACTGCTCTGCAAGCTGCCGGTGCTGCTCTGGCTGCTTCCCAGTCCCAGCACGCTCTTCTTCAGCGAGATCTCGACACACACAAGACTGCCCGATCTGCTGCTGATGAGGAGGTTCTGCAGCTGAAGCGACAGCTTGAGGACGCCGAGCGACGGCTGGCTCAGGCCGAGGAGGCGCTCGAGAAGGAGCAGCAGCTTGGCGCTCATGCCCGTGAGCAGAACGAGCACTCCACCCAGGCCATGACTGGTGGAATCGACAAGATTCTCGCCATGTGGACTGGCTCTGCTCTGATTGGTGGCGCTGCCGGATACGCTGGTGGTGCTCTCACCAACGGCTCTCGAGGTATTGATGGCGCCGAAGGCGATGATGGTGAGACCCCTGCTGCTCCTTCTGGTCTCAACTCGCATCCCCAGTTTGTTGCCCTGCAGAAGCAGGTGGACGGCGCCAACAAACTGCACCTGATGCACAAGGAGGCCGCTGAGCAGGCCACCGCTGATCTTTCTGTCGCCCAGACCCAGGTCGAGGAGCTCAAGTCCACTCTGCTCAAGTCTGAGCAGCAGAACCACGAGCTGATCCAGGAGCTGGAGGAGCTCAAGGGCCATGTTACCGAGCACCGACGCCAGCTCGAGGACCACGAGCAGACCCGGTCCATGTCGCAGAACCAAGCCCTTCGTCTGAAGGAGCTGGAAGCCGAGCTGGCTGCCACTCTTGCTACCCATCGAACCGAGCTTGACAACATTGAATCCACCCACCGAAACAAGCTCGGCGAGATGGAGAAGGCTAAGAAGGACTCGCTGACGTACATGCAGAACTCGGATCTTGCTCTGCGAAAGACCCGAGAGGAGCTTTCTCGATCCAAGGAGCAAATCTCCCAGCTGCAGGACGAGCTCTCCGAGCTGCAGATTCGAGGCAAGGGCGGAGCTCCTCGAGGTCATGACTACGACGACGACGATGATGATGACGACGAAAAGTTTGGCAGCCATCAGCTCGAGTTGCAGCTGCGAGACACCCGAGCCACTCTGGTTGTGGTTGAGCAGGAGCGAGACGAGCTGCGACTTGCCAATGCCGATTTGCGAAAGAAAGCCATCACCAACGTTCAGGACGTGGAGAAGTACAAGCGGCGGTACCAGCGTCTGAAGCAGCGAGGCGGCGAGGATAGCTTTGGAGAGTCTGAATTTGACCAGACCCACACCAGTGGTTTTGAGTCGCCGAGATAGTAATGCTGAGAGCTGAACAAAGCAAGGCGAGTGTCGAGTGTATCGAACGTGTTGCGCGTGAGATATTTCAAGAGTGTACATCACTGGGACGCTAAAAGATATTTAATGTAATATTATTGATTGAGTAGTTAACCCGTACTTTCTGCCATTTATGCATTTACATTGCTACATAATGAGGATATCTTGGGTTGTCCATTTCAATACTGCTGTACATTATTTGCTTCTTCGTCGTCAACTTCATGCTTGTAAAAACCTGACCTTCCCCTCCTTCTGTTTGCCCTTTTCTCTCTTTTTACTGACACCGGCACCGTGGCCAGATTTCGGTAGCCATTCAAAAAATACTGTCCCTTTTTCCACCAACTCAACATTCACCAACTGCTCCTTGACCTGGTATATGTGCTTGTACAACATTCTGATGGTGGGTTCACTGACTCCTGTCTTATCTGAAATGTCGCCGGGGCGTATACACTGATCATATAGAGCAGCGACCATGTAGAGAGGAGCGGCAGACACAAATGCTGGTGCGTTGCCGTCCAGAACGTGGATATGAGTCGCTCGTTTGATCATATCTTCCGTTAGATGGCCCACCTTGGCACTGAGTCCCAGATGAGATAAGTAAGAGGAAGGAGAGCTGCTGGATTGATTTGGACGTTTTTGAACTACGACATAATGTCGGTGCCTTTGAGAATGCGTTTCAAAAGCTCCAGAAAGCGTCCTGTTCGGCGTTTAGAGACGTTGGTCACAGCACACACTTCTTTGAATGTGAGGGGAACTCCAGCAGCTCTGCAGGTGAGAAGGACAATGGAGGCACTCATGTCCTCGGTTCTCTTGCCCTTGAGCCTTTTGTCTTGATAGATAATGGTGTGAATCGGTTTGGCGGGGGTAATAAACGTCCTTGGGAAGCAAGATGCTGTTGCACAGGGCAGAGATGTTGCCATTGACTCCGTCCAGGGCGAGACTCACGACCGCCAGAGACGATTTGACATCTGATGAGTGAAGCAGGATTTGATGCTTAGTGCGAGCAACTGGGTAAGGCTCCAGGGGACATGTTGGCACGGAGCTGCGACTCACAATCTCGACTGGCAGTTTCTTCAACTCGACAGGGGTCCGCTTCGACAGTTCCATCTTCGGAAGGGAGTAGGTTTGCCATTTACTTCTAGTGTCGACCACTTGGTCTGAAAGAATTAGTCCGCAATCTTCACACCACGTTTCCTTTTGCAAACCGTTCGGAAATGTTTAGAGGGACGTTTTTGCACTCCCCACACATGAGCGTAATGTTGAGGTTGGGACGGTACATAGCAGAGCGGTCTGGTGATGATTTGATGGTATGACTTGTTGGTTTTACTTGTCACATGACTTCGTGTTTTAGGAGGTATCTGGTGGTGGATCTGTGAAGCTGTAGCTAGTGTCTGAGTAGATTGATGATGGGTGTGTTGACTACAGAACCCATTGGGTCAAATACATCTTGAGTAGAATAAGACCTGTGTGTGATGATTCGATGATTCCAAGAAGTATGCAAAGGTGTTTGAGATATTCATCGCAGCTGCAATTGTGATACTTGGCTACCCATAACTGGCGCCGACACCCACAGTCCACAACTGATTGTCAAGCTGAGCCATATCCAAAGTCAACTTGTCGGATCAGTCTTCAGACTCATGACTTTTGATCACAATCTAAGACATTAAAAACACACCAAGAACCAATTAAAAGACTTCAATGGGGCACCTCTTCCACCGATGGGCAATCGTACATCAAGCATCTGCTTGTCTGTACTCGTACGTACCGTATGGATTGTACTTCACACATTTCTACGATATTCATACATCATTTTGCAAAATATTTTACAAAACACGGGGGGAAATCATGGTCTCGTACATCAGCTCCCCATCTGTGTTTGTATCCCAAGTCACGTTTTCTGCTTGTGTTTTTCCATTATATCAAAATATGTGCCTATAGCCATCTCGTGTGTTCCCCACCCCCTTCCACACATAAGCTTTTATTAGCGAAAACCTTTTTTCCACTGCCTCAAACCTAGATTAGAGTTAGTGAGAAAAACGTCTAAACGCATTAGACACACGTGATACGCCGGGATGGGCAAAAACCCATCTTGCCCACAAAAGTTACGTGGAGGTCTGTCCGTACTTGTAGGCTCACGTGGACGGGAAGATGCTGACGTGTAGAAACATGAGAGCTCGTGGATGTACTTCTGTTCGCGTGAAAACAGAGGGGATAGCACGTTGCACAGTGTACATTATATGAAGGGATTACTGTAGATGTTAGTGTGTGATGTTACTATAGGTACATGTACTGTACAGTACAAGATGGGCCGATATTGTACTCAAGTAGTCTACTACATTTCTTAAAGATTCCAGACATTCCAAGTCAGCCGACGGGTTGCCATTTAGTCGAAATATAATTCCGTGGGACTATAAATCGTCTCTATAAATGATAACAAGGCCCCTGCGTTTGAGAGGATTGTTAGCGAAGTTCTAGGGGCGAGAACGGTGTACCGTCTATACTGTAGTCCTAGTATCAGTGTACAGTAGTAACCAAAGTAATTTTCCACATGTTGAATAAATGGGTTGACTCTGAGTGAAAAATAATGACGGTGTTCTCCGAACGGTGAGATCGCACCATTATTGATTGTTGTTCGACAACTTCAGAGAATTTCCACTCAGGAGTATATCATATTAATGAACAGTCAAGCAGAATTCAACTCATTGAATCACTACATAAGATACTGTACTTGTACGAAGACGGACAACTTTTATAATATAATTGCACTCTATCTGAACTGATTGATGGATGCAAACACGATTGTCATCTGAAACCCCGAATCCGAGCCTGATTCAGGTTTAACATTGTTCTAAGCAGCAAAAATATATATTCCTGGAATAAAAAAAAACCCAGACTGACTCGTATCATCCTTGAGTCATCCAACTGTTGTCTGCCAGAAAACAGAACAGTCCATGGTCCAACTACTCCCCCATAACTAATAGTATGTACACCGAGAGAAGAGACAAATCCACACATTATAGATCCGATCGAGTCATTTATTTGCCTGTTAATTCTTCCAAAGATCCTCAATCGTTCAATTTGTTTTTTTTTTGTTTACTTCCTTTATCTACTCGTTCTTGCACAGGTACCTTCAAAGTGCTTCACACTCACGCAAAACCCACACAATACAAACAAATAGGCAAGGTGAAACGCCCGACAAGTCTCTCAATCCATTCAACCAACTGCGACCGTAATATCACCACATGTCGCTTCTTTTCTCTCCCGCTATTACCCTCTCTTAATGGTCTGAGACAAGGGAACCGTATCCCCCATTGAGTTCGGCGAAATCACCGATTTTCGGAGAATTATCGCGAGAACAAAAGAGCCAGCAAAACTCCCAGAAATTCACCTGTACACACATCGCCACCCGCTTGGTCACTGGTCCAACTCCGACCACTATTCATCATTGTATAGACGCCCTCATTCCAGTGATCGGACCCCGATGAGCTTATTTTCAACTACAGTCTGCAAATACCGAATAATACAATATAATATAGAATACGAGTCGAGACTGAGCATGGCAAAACATCCCTCGTTTCACTCGCAGACCCTTAAACTGGGCCGTAAAAACGTCTGTTCTGTCTTGTGGGCAACGGCAGGTTGGTCGAGGACAGTCGTCGACCCTCTCCAGGCTTGCCAATGCTTAATCTCGGAGGAGGAAGAGTACCCATAGCCGGCGACTTGGACGTAGAAGTTGTGTTGACCAAGCTGCTGATAGGAGGGAGCCGCGACGATGTCGGAGAGGTGGCCGGGGACATTTCAGGTGGCTGGGCTACTGCAATTGGGGGCGACGGGTTGGAAATCGGTGCCATAGGAACCCCTGGGGCAACAGGAGTAACTGCCACAGGGCTGGAGTTGACAGGGTGAACTGCGTTGGTCACTGGGACAGCTCCAGGCATAGCAGTCGCCAGTCCGAGATTAGGAGGCGCAACAGCAGGATTCGGCACAGATGAAAAGGGAGTCTCGTGAACAGGTGCAGGGGTGGCCTGAGCAACGAGACCCGGCGGAGGATAACCCTGGGGGTACGCCTGACTAGCGTACCCGTAGTTGGGTTGCACCGAAGGCTGTGGATAGTAGTACGGACCTCCGTAGTTGCACTGCGGCTGAGGAGGAGGGCCGGGGTAGTATCCTGGCTGAGGCGTGGGCGGATACTGGCCACCAAAAGGAGGAAGGCCCTGTGCACCATGGTTGACGTAGCCGTGGGGAGGGTTGCCAGAGGGAGGAGCAACTTGGCTTGGGTAGGGAGATTGGGCAACCGGCGCGGGGCTTTGAACATGGCCAGGGTTGGGGTTGGTGGCCACTGGTGACGCGCTGTTCTTCATTTCGTCCTTCTTCACATCTGAGTAACGCACTGGGGCCTTTCGTTTCGATCGAGGAATGGTTTTGCCGTTCTTCTGTCGGTCCGGAAGATTTTCAGGATAGAGAGAAGCCGGAAAGAGCAGATCTTCCACTGATCCAGGAGTGTGATACTGGGGTTGCCGTGGGGGCTGAAGCTGAGGGGGAGAATACTGCTCAATTGGGGGAGGATAGTACCCCCGTCCAGGATCGTAGTAATATCCATGACTGGTATGCACAGGGTGCCCTGGATGTCCGTGGTGTCCGGGGCTAGGGTGAGCTGGAGGGCTGGGGTTGCCCTGTTGGATAGGAGTGCTGGGATTAGGAGTCTGTCGCACGTTCATGTTGACGAGCATGGGAGTGGTCACAGTCCGAGCAGGTTCGGGAGCACTTCTGTCAACTCGAAATCGGCCGGTGCTGAACTGACCTCCTTCTTTTGATAACTGATGCAGCTGTCTAATCCCCTTGATGTTTCGATCTACCACTTTGCTTGTTCGAGGAAGAGCCAACGGCTGTTGGAGTGAAAAAGAACGAAAAGAGCCAGGAGGTGCGTCTGGCACAGTGTCCAACGACGCGTCAATTTCATGCAAATTCTCTGGAGGCACACCCTGAGGCAATGACACGGCATTCTCTGGTTTGACTTCTTTCTCTACACCACGCAAGTCCTCGTCGGAGTCCTCATTATAGTCGGGTATTCTGTAGTCCTTGTTCAGAGTCACTCGTCGTCTGTTCTTGCGCCTAGCATCAGAAGGAGAAGTAGTTTCCACATACTCAATCTCACTGGTCGTCCTACGCTTCTTACGGCGCAGGTTCTCCTTCTCGTCGTCCTTATCCTCCTCCACTGCAGTTGGATCACAGGCTATTGCAACGTCATCATCGCTCTCGTCCACGACCATTGTAGACTCGTAGTTTGCGGTAGACCGTCGAGCTCTTTGGGTTCGTTTTTTGACCGGCTTTTTGGCACCAGTAGGAGTATAGTCCTGGTCGGAGGAAGAATGACCATGCGACTCAAGATCGGGTGTCGCAGTATACTTGGCTCTGGCCCTGGAAGCCTCCTGAAAGTCTTCATGGGCGTCCTGAAAAGTTTCCATGTCGGAGTCGTCTGCCCCAGCTGCAGCAACCTCCCCAACTTCCTCCAGTTCTCTAGACGCTTCACGAGGTTCCTCTTCCAACAACTCCCCAACATGCAGAGTGACATTATTTCGTAGATTTCGAAGTCGGCGGGTGGGTGTCTCACTTTTCTTGGGTTCTGCAGGCGACTTTTTGTTGATTTCACTGACTTCTGTTTCATGATGCGACTCGTCCTTGACCTGAATTTTTGCCGGTCGGCCACGCTTCTTTTTTCCACCAGACTGAGACCTGGTCTTCGGAGGTCGACCTCGCTTGGGAGGTGTAACTGGATCAACTGTCGACTCATCGATGATAACCGAGTCCTCATCCACACCCTCTTCTACTGACACAGCCTCTGCCTTGGTTCCCTCAACCGTCACCTTTCTAGGACGACCACGTTTCTTGGGTGTGGTAGCAATGGCAGCATCGGCTGCTGACAAAGACTCGCGCAACTTGGACTTTCCAAGCTTTGCAGGGAGAGAAAGACGCTTTTTCTTGTCGGCAGACTTGTCACGGGACTTGTCGCGCGTCTTGGGTACCGCCAACAAGTCTCGCTTGAGCAGATCGCGCTTGAGAGAGTCGCGTGACCGCGGAGTCACCCGCTGATCACGCGGCTTGTCACGTGCCTTCACTATAGGGGTATCCAAATCACGCGGCTTGTGTAGCTTGGGCGAGTCTGATCCGGATTTCTTTGGCCTTCCTCGTTTGGGCGTGACAACGTCTGCGGTAGACGCCCGCTTTCTCGACGAGCTCTCGATAGCTCCAACACTGCTAGCTCGCTCCGTCGTGGCCTTTTCGCCAGCTCTTCTACCAATAATTCCTCGACATTGGGAAGCTCCACAATGGCAAGTCTGTGCCTTGGCACCCTCAAACCACACGAAATTGTAATCGTACGTTAGCTCCTGTCCGTTCTGGACGCCGTCTTCGCCGGCAAAAAGACCGACTCGAGGCAGACCCTTGACAAACCATTTTTGCATCTCGCAATTGGGCATGCACGAATGGTTGACAAAACGAGCCGCGCTTCCTCGAAGTCCACTGTCGATGACGGCTCCCTTTTCGAGATTTAGAAAGTAGTAATTGTCCGAATCTGCGTACTCGTTGTCCAGGCGGCGCTTGATTTCACTTGGGGAAATCACATCACCTGTGTACTCGCACACAAGCTCGCCAGGAGCAAAAGAACGACATGCGCGAAGCCCATAGCCCTTACTTTCGGTGTGGATGATCTCAATGGCTTGGTGGTAGAAGCGTGATGTGCGATTTTTGAGCAAACCAAATTCTCTGTTGCCACAATCAACGTCCCCAAAAGGACAGTTTGAGGAGTCGCATTCGAATTGAAGCATCTTGTTGAGACACGACTCGTCGCAGCGATCGACACAGGCGCAAATTGATTTGAGAGTAGACGGTTTCGGGGGCTCCACGTCGATGAAGATGTCTGAGTTAGTAACGGGGCCAGAGATTATAGTTATGTGCAAACAATTTTGGCATTTCAAGGTCGTTTTTAATCAATAAAACGCGGTCTCCTTGATCCTCAAATTTGCTCACAAAATCCCCAATTCGTTGTATCACTAGTATCTAAATTCATACTCACTTCTCTTGATGGACTTCCAGCTTTTGGGCTTGACGTTACCGGTTGGACAGTAAATGTTCCACGGCAATTGAAAGTCCTTGTTGGTGTTGAGAACGTCCTGATCCACGGGCAACGGCAGCGAAAAATGTCCGTCACTGGCGTCACTGTCGGTGTCGGCGTACTCGCCTTGGGTCACAAACTCCTTTGTGGCGGGACTCTCGTCCTCCTCCGTGGCAGCAGCCGTCTCCACAGCCTCTCCCTGGGCGTCCTCTGCCACGTCATCTGCAGGGTCACTCTTCACTGGGCCTCTCTTGCCGCCAAACTTGGCCAGAATCGCCTGACGCGCCTCCTTGTTGATCTTGTCGCCATGGTATTGTTGCCACATGCGCTGGCCCTGGGGGGTGTCCGGGTACTCGTATGTGTACGAATGGCGCATCACAAACTCCTCAATGAACTCGTTTGTGTCCGGCAAGGGCGACTCGCGGAAGAAGTCCCGGATCACCCCCACCGCCAGCGTCTTTTGTGTCCCTCTGGTGGTGCGAGAGGACATGTTGTGGCTGGGCTGGTGATGTGGTGCGGTTTTGTGTTTGTGAAATCTGCTGGGGTCTAGTGTAGTCTGTCGTGTTGGGGGAAGTGCAGTCAGTGTTTCAGCGTCCGTGTCGTGGTGGGTGTTCAAGAGCAATGTGCAATTTGTATAAAGCTGTGTGGTGATCCTCTTTTTGAGGGTCTTCTTTTTTGTTTTCTGCTTCTTTCCCAACCGCCTAGTCTCTCTGTCTCGCCTCCAAACTGGTGAAATTAAACAACCGAATCTGTAACGCGAATAGGCTTTTGCCCAAGAGACATTTTATTCCGCCTTTTGAAAAGATACACACCAGCTGAAACTCTATCGCCAAGCGAAAACCCCCAGATTTGGACCCGGCGCGGCCATGGAGAGTGTCACGTGATCGCCCAACCCCCGATATGCCGCAAAACCGACCCGGTCCGCCCACCAAACCGAGGCCCCATTCCAATCCTGGCCGTTCATCACACTGTCGTATTAAACACAAGGTTTTGGAACCCTAATTGGGCACATGAGAAAAGCATGACCCTAAACAGGAGGTGAGGTTGGTCATGGGCTGTATTTGGTGGGCTGACGGAAAACTGGTTTGGTCGGCTGCTTCTTGGGGCTGTTGACACTCTGTTCCCAGCTTCTTAATTGCCATCTTCCGCGCTTTTTTTGCCCGCTTCCAGAAGACATCTACTCCGGTTGCCACTCCCCCCAATGGAACCTTATGCAGGTCTACATTCGGGCCGGCTACCTCGTTTGTTATGAGAAGTGGGAATGGTGGATTATGAAGAATAAAAATGTTTGGGGCTATTAAGAATTTCATTCGGATCCTTGTGGCATTTTCCAAATCCAAACTGGAGCATTTTGGGCCGAGTTAGTGGTGCTGCGATAATGCAACCAGCATGGAAGCAACCTTGAGATACGATACGCAGATGAGGAACAGGAAGGACTTGAAGTCACTGGCAGTTGGTATTTTGGATTGATTTTTTTTGCCATTTTAATCAATCCGATTCTCATGGCTGCGTTTGATGATGAGGATATCACGACTCTGTTATAAGTCCGGGGTATGGCTGGATCTTGAAAAGCCTCGATTTGTGCCAGGTTGAGATTTGAATGCTTGGAAGGACTCGAATTGACGACGTGGATCCGATGACTTTCAGAGCTAGGCAAATTTTAAGAGAACTCGAACAATCATCGAGGCTACAACAGTTGATTCCTGCTGTCTTTTGGGTCGATAACTAGTGGGCTGATTATTGACGAAGAAATATGGGCAGTTTTGGAGACTAAGGAAGAGGGTTTAGAAGAGATCAATATCGTGGCCGGGAGTAGATTGATGACATATCCAGATGGCTTCTCAAAGTGTGAGAGAATGATTAATGTTCCTGAGTTGTCTATTCTTTGCAAAAATGGCTATGCGGAGCCCGAGAAGAGGTGTGGTCAGAGAGATGCTCTTGCTGCTATTGTTGGCTATGGAGAATCTGCAAAAGTTGAAAAATGACTTGATTTGACAATGATCTGTTGGCTTATTAAGATTCCATTTCATTGGACTGCCCCAATGGTCCAGGACTTGTGAGTTTCATCTTGGCAGTTCGGCTTGGGGGTTCCTAGTAATCAAGTTTGTCATCTTGTGTAAAAGTGGCTAGAGAAGAGAAATGAGAAGTTCATCATCGTTTCAAAGAGTCTTTTTGGATGGTTATTGAACCACTTTGGAATTGATTGTGTTCTGTTTGATAGTATCGTGTAGTTACACTTGTCTAGTGAACATAAAAAGTGTCAAGAAAAGTTCAGGAATGGAATGGAATTAGAGAGTTCCCGAGATGATTTACTCGATTATCGCAATTGTTTCACTTTCACTATCCAATCTCGAACACGACAATTCTCTTATTCCGATTTCCAAAACCTGCCTGCGGTATACTGCTAAATCAACGTACGGTATCGGCACCCAAGAGGGAAATTTCAAGAAACGTAGGAAGGAATCTTATCATAAAAGGGATAATATAGTACATATCTTCGGATTCAAAAGTGTGGAGTTCGTTATCTCTGTTGTGGAGTGTGGGCTCTATGACTACAGCCCAGCTCATACTACCCACATCTGGAGCTTTCTTGACAATCCGACACTTTTTGCAAAAGGTCCAGCAGTTGCTGGAGTGTGAAAAATATGTCAGTATGTTCCATTCATTCAGTCATCATCATTCACAACTGTTCCATATTTCACTTGCGTTTGGGCGGCTGAGCAACTGTTTGCTTTTTTTGTGGAAAATCTCGGGGAAAACGCCTAATATCGGTGTGAATCGAATAAATTGAATCACATGACTGTTGAAATGGTGATACAAGTCCCTCCGAGATTGACAAAAAGTTCACCAATTGGCACATATGATACACGTCTACATTCGGTGGTTGACACGACAAAACGCAACTAAAGCGCCGTGCACTACCAAAAAGTTTCATTTCTGACATTTTTTTGTTTTGTTTTAAAAAATCCAATACGATTCAGATAATACAACTACTGATCGCGGTAAATTGAGTGATCTCCCGTTTCAAGCCACATTACCCATGGTCGTATACAATCACCCAAAATTGCTTACCCTGACTAACCGGCTTGTCCTTTCATCCTATAACCAATCCGAGTTGACCGACCTATTCGTCTCGCTCTTCTGATTTTAACCATACATTTCATATTCTTCTAGGACTCCTATTTCCCGTTCAGTCTTTCTACCGCTTCGAATCTGTATTATAGTCACCAACCTCCCTCTGATGCTACCCCTATCCTACAGGCAACTCGTCATCTTCTTCGTCCTCTGGCCTTTTATGTCACATAAATATCAATTCCTGAGTTGACGCTATTCAACAGTATACCTCTTATCTCCAACAATATACCGATCTCGGTTACCCATGTTGGAAGCAACATAGGGCTGGAACCACTGGATGTATAGGTTTTTAAAAACGTTTCCAGTGTCGAAAGGTCGACTTTTGTACTCCTTGGGGAGTTGTTTGTTTCGTAACTGGGTTAGAATGTGGTGATACGTGAGCACAAAGTCGAGCGCAGACTACGGCCAATACCGCGTCTGAGAACCGCTTGAAGCCGTCATGTGAGCCCATGACTTTACATTTCGACAATGTGACCCCAACATGGCCATCTACCACGTGTTTGGTCACGGGATTCATACTCACAAATTCATGCGTGCTCTCCCCCCTCGATGCAATCCACAAATGGAAGCCTACCAATGCCAAAGGATAGCCAGCTCCTAGAAAGCCCAGAAAAATCATCACCAGAGGCATCGGTCTGTGTCTCAATGACTCAGCAATGGTCATGTGCATATGTCTCTTGTAACAGATGACGTGAGCTATACTGTTTCCAACAATGTACAGTCCACAGAGTCCTCCGGTCATGACAAAGGCCACAAAGTAGCGGTAGTTTTTTCGGCCCACGCAGTTGTTGAGCCAGATGCAATGATGATCGTGGAAGTCCACACAATTGTCACAATCGCTACAATGGGAGGCTCGAGGGGGTCTCCATATCTTGCAGGTTGAGCAGTATTTGAGATATACCAAATTTTCTGATGATTCTGGCTGCTTGAAGCATGACAGAGAAGTGGTGTTCTTTCTCGGATCAAACGCATCAATGCCTGGCTCCACTGAATATTCGTTAGGAATAGATCCATCTGCTATCCTATCTGTGAGATGAATGTTTCTAGGAAGGATTCCTGGGTCTGAAAAACTTGCCCTCAGAAAAGAGGCTACACACAGTAAGAAGATGTATGTGAACACTGCGGGAATAGCAGGGGAGATATGATTCCACGTCCAGGGAGCCACAAATCCATAGTAGAGACCTCCTAGAATCAAAATGACACATAAAACAGCAATATTCAGCGGTTTCTGGCGAGCTGAAAGAAATCTACCGCCAATGAGAAACACATTATTACCCAAATGTGCCTGATAGTTGTGCTCAGGAAGACTCAAAGGCTGCTTGAGAAAAACCCAAGACCAAAGTCGATCAGAAGTACCACGTGAAGAAGGCGCCGGACCATCTGACTTGTCACGTGCTCTCAAATGAGCCCTGGTTCGCTTCCGTAACGGAAAAGTAGATGCGGCTGTGGTCGGTACCGACTCAGGTGAACCTCTAGTTGGAGGTCCAGCTGTTGTGGGAGGCGTGTAAAAGTCCATGTTCACGTGATCATTGACTCCATGCCCCGGCTTCGACGTCTTGAATACACCACTCATTCTTTGAGTCTCAGAATTGGCTGAAGTAGACATGAACCCACCCTCGTCGCCGCCGCCTGGACTGTCGGTCGGAGTCACGTGATTGGTATTGTTACTGCCACTGCTGCTGGCCACGTGATCACCCACTAATGTACAGGCAGTATTAGGCACTGCGGGCTCAGCAGTGTCTGGTGCGACGCTTGTCAGAAAGTCGGTCATGTTGAGTCTCGAGGGGATTGAAGAGGTTGTGGATTCACGTGGGAAGTCACGTGAAGGGTGGGGTGAAAGGTTAGCATCATGTGATATGTCACGTGAATGGCCCACATGGCGTCCATTGTCTTCTGACAATTGTTGCATCTCGACATCCCCTTCAGAGAGGAATTCCGAAATGTCCATGGCTGTCAGTACAACAAAGTCACGTTACGAAACAAAATGCACTGGAGAAGTCACGTGCTTCAAAATTTGACCTCGTGATGCAAAATACGACGTTCACACGATATCTTCGACCGCTCCGTGGTAGTGGTACGACAAATGCAGTTGGAGGGTGAATGATCCTCACCAACAAAAAAAACGGTCACGTGACGGCGACTCTGGGTCGGGGGACCGAAATATCTGCTTATTAATCACTTGGGAGAACGCCGGGCACGCACGGGGTGTTCTATTGATCACGTGATCGGGTATCTGTCATGAGGGTGTTTTGACCCCTGAAATGGTGATTGGGGGGAATGTATGCAGCAGGATTATGGGGGCTAATTTCTATAAACTCTAATTGAAACTTTATTTTGAGCTTATTTTGAAATTAGTCAGCGGAAGGGAGGAGTGGATAGGGAGTGATATTGGGGTGTATTTGAGTGATATTTTGATGAGATAATGGGCGGGTGTACATTTATCAGCATGATTACCCATTTTTAGGTGTCTCTGGGAGATTTTGGAGGTGGTTTAAGTGGTGAACTTGCTTGTAGATGTAGACAATTATGCACCTACATATTGTACCTACACTTGTACTTGGAAATTACTTGAACGATGAATATGACAAGTTTTGTTATCAAGAGTTGCAAAGTGTTGTCGGTCGGCGATGACGATCTTCGTTTGACAGTTTCCACCAAAAAAAAAAACCGACATTGACTGTTTTTGCGCGTTTGAGGTCTTTTGCGGTTGTGAGACCAAAGTTGGCATTGTATACTTGAGAGAAAAATCAATTGTAGTTGTCAAGGGTGCGTCGAGTGCTTCGACAGCTTGAGAGATCATCTGAATCTTTCGATCAATGAATCTTTTCGATCAATTTAATGTTTCAATCAATTGAATCTTCCATCAATTTTGATGTCTAGAAATTCTGTACATACTTGTAGCAGTGTACTTGTACCGAAAATGATATACTGTTCAAAGGGGGATATCAACGAATATATCAAACAATACTACAAGTGCAAGTTTCACGAATGATCCAGGCTCTCCTTTTGAGGTTCATTCTTACCAATTTCCCTCTGAACAATGTCGCAGACAATACGGGTACAGTATGTACTGGAGATCTCCAAAAAACCAAGAGCGAACAGTCAACCACTAGTTCAGAACCACATTCACAAGAATCAATTGATGGCACCTAATCTTACTGAATTACTTGTACTCCCTCCAATCTCCTCTCTTTCCTGTTAGTAGAACCCATCTCATACGATACAAGTCATCAGTCCCCGTCAGGATCAGTTAAAATTACTCTCTGGTTCACCAAAAAACTCCACAATCATTGGCAGCACACTCCCATCAAAATTTCAAAACAATTCCCCTATCCACCAGACGTCTCTTCCAGTAATAACAACCCTCCGCTCGTTCAGCTCATAACCTGAAATACAGTTACAATCATACTTTTACCTACCCAAACCATATCAGAACAGTGTCCAAGCTCCGCCTAACACCACTCACATCAACGACATACTCGCCACTCACGCCATGATCAAACCCATGCTGAGATTTCCAACTCGGACACTGCTCCGACCGGGAACCCTAACCCTTCGAAATCAGCTTGTCCCCAGCCCTCTTTTTGCGGCTCTCACATCCAGATCCATTTCGACCCTGCCAAACCGACCTTTTACTTCCGCAAGGCTCAGAAATGGGCCCATCGCCTCCAGACCCGCCTCAATCGTCTCCACAAGCGCCATTATCTCGTCTGTGCGAAAATTGCACTCTTCCAACCCTGCTTTTGGCCAAATTCCGGAATCTGCTGCCCCAGGTAAAGTACGAATGCTCAAAGGCACCAGAAAAGTCCTGCTGGCTCTAATGATCTCATACGGCATCATTCTGACCGCCATGGCATCCATTCTCATCGGAACTTACGTCTACCTGGAACTGCAACAGCCCTGGCCATTGGTTCAATGGAGCATGAAGCAGGCCTACAAGGCCAGAGAAGGACTGCTGTACGAGGTGTTCCTGGAGGATTACGCGTCAGCCAAGCAATGCTACGAGAAGCTGCTGGATTCCCTGTCACGTGACAACAAGGGTAATCTTGTGGATATCTCGGGAAAGTCCACCGCCTGGCTTTCTGCCTATTCGGATCTTCTTTGTCGATATGCAGACATGTGCAAGATTGCTGGAGACCTGGACAACTGCAAGCAGGCCTACATTGGCGCTATGCATGTTGAGGGAGGCGATCTGAACCACAAGTCACGTGCTCTGACCAATTTGGCAGAATTGGCCGAGATGGAAGGTGACCGAGATGAAGCTGAAGATCTGCTCAAGAGAGCCTGTGCCTACGGAAAGGATACTGCTGTCAAGAGCGGATCTAATCTCTCCTATCGGGTGGCTCTTCATGCCGAGGATATGGTTCCTGGATCACGGGAGTCTTTGGACGCCTCTATTCACCTGGGTGTCCTCTATGCTCAAAAGGGAGAGTATGAGAAGGCTCTTCCCATTCTGGTTTCGAGTCTGCGAGCAGTCAAAAACTCCATTCGACAGCAGCGAGGCGCTGTTCTGAGCCGTCCCCTCGAAGCCAACCCTCTCAACTGTCAGATTCATGAATCTTCCTTGCTGTCGGTGTACATTTCCGAGGTGCTTTGGGCCAGCAACAAGAAGGATGAGGCTGTCAAGTGGGCTCAAAAGGCGTACAATGAGGGTTACGTCTATCATCGGTCCAACATTGAGGCAGCCAAATCTGCCCAGTTGGCCTTGTTGACTCTCATCAAGATGGAAAAGTCGTTGGGCAACAAGACCGAGGTGGAAAAGTACCAGGGTCTGCTGGACAAGATTGAGGTGCCCTCCAAGAACGTGACCAAGTGGGATTGGTTCAAGTCGGCCTTGCTGTAAGTCAAGCGTTGCATCGGGTGTGGCATTTTCGAGAGTAGCGAGAAATTGATACTGTTCGAGGGACTTTTTGGAGGGATTCGTTCGAGAAACCTGTTCGAGGGACCTTGACGAGGGACCTGTTGGAGGAATAGTGCAACATATTGACGCTCGTCAGTCATGCCTTACTATCACCCTAACAGTCTCTCTGTTTGACTATCTCTGTCATCGAGTGATGAAACTTGCAGTTCCTAATCCATGGACCCAGACTCCGAGTACCTGTCTACAGTCCATGTCGTGAGAATATAACAATATACGAGTTTGTGGGTATAGCTCCGCGAAGAACGAGTGCTTGATACTGGATGCACGTACTATTACATACAGACGGTTCTTTTCAAAGATGCAGAATGTTAGCTGAGTATCGATAAACCCCTTTCCAATCCGATAATGTAGTATTCGACCGTCTACTGTATTTGTCCATCTACACCGCTCAGGTTCGACTAAAATTGATATGTACATGATATTTACCACGAGGCCTTTCGGACACCGGGCAGCTCTCCGCTGAGGGCCTTGTTTCGGAATGCGGTCTGGGTTAGCTTTGAAAGGGCAGTAGAACAGGAGAGAAGGGAGCAAGGGGAGTAAGGAGTGACAATAGCGTAGAGAGGTTGAGAGAAGCAAAACACAATGCAGCCAGTAAGTCGATAAGTCGGTAAAACCGTCTGTAAGGCAGTTGGTCAGACAGTGTCCAATCCAATAACTCCTGGAATAAGTCCAGAAAAAATACCGATCAAATCACAACGCATCAAACAGCAGCAATCAGCATAAAAAGACGACAGACGAAACCAACATGATGGTCTATTGCTGCACTTATGGTCTACTGCTGCACTTATGGTCTCTCTGCTGCACTTCCTACCGTTCGATGTGCACTGTCACTCATTCCAATCGCCGACATCCCGGTCATGGGCTATCTCATTCAAGATGGTGCGGTTCATTTCCCATCCCCGTTCGCGGGGCTCATTCTCCCCAACTGTAGTCATTCCCACTCCTCATTCTTCACTCAGACCTTTGGTCTTCGCTTCGGTTGTACTCACTCGACACAGCTTGAACTCCTTGATAATACCCTTGGATCTTCCGGTCTCGACACATCGGGGCTTTGCCGCGTGGATGTTAGAAAAGACGGGCATGGAGGTGAGCTGGAGATGGGCCTGGATCCGCTGCTTCATGGGCAGAGTGGTGTTCTGCGAAATCGACTTGAGGGCCCGTCGGTTAATCTCCTGCTGGGCAGACACGTGCCGGATGGCGTTATCCTTGAGCACCTTGGCGTCGATGTAGCACGACGGCGTCTTGAACTTGGGCAGTCGCATTTTGGTTGTGCGGTGTGTGAAGCGAGTGAATTTGAAATTTGAAATTTGATATGCAAACTTTCTCGCCTAGTGGGGAGTTGCTGACTACGCCAACGATCGGTTGTATAAAAACGTAAAAATATCAGAAAAGCCATACTACTGCAATGTTACCAACTCCAGCCATATTTTGTATTTGTATATATATATATGTAGATTTTTCTCACCATAGAAACGCTCTTCATATCCGTCATGATTCCTGTTGGGAGACGGTGATGTCGACTTACAGGACACATCTTACCCTGACTAAGCTGACGAACTGTAATAAGTATATATTTATTTAGTTATTTATAAGAGCTAATTCGAATATTGTAAGGATAGTAAAGTGTCGTCTCACAAAAATATATATAAAGACGTTAGAAATTATTCGTGAACAAAAATACCCTGTCAGGTGACATTATTAGTCAGTGTAACCATTATCACAGGTTACGACCTTTTATAGCGGGGAATAAGACCCTCTTCGTAACTACAACTACGGGTGCTCGTACGTATTGTAGAGCAAACAACACTCTGAATAAATTGAAACAACGACTGAATTGTCCAGTTTTCATTACCCCACTCAAAGACAGTCACACGACTTCCAATCATACCCCAGATCGGAGTTTGAGACATATTTTCGGAGCAAAATGCAATAAAGATTTTGTCTCAAGAGGACGATTCAAGTCGGGGAAAATCGGGGAGAATCGGGTAAAATCAGGGAAAATCGGGGAAAAAGGCAATAAACAAACCAGACCTACATAATCGGACTATTTGATGTCAATTATCCACTCCAAACCCATCTCAACACGTGGAAATACCTCAAATTCCTGCAAGTACAGCACATACAGTAGTCCACTTGCGTCTCGGTGCATGCATAGATGTGCCCGGTTTAGGAGCAAGTTTTGATTCGACAAGGTATACAGAAGCTTACGTCAGCAGGTAGTCGTAAGCGGGCCCCTCTTGTTCTTGTCACGTGACCTGCCGGGGGGCCGCAGCTTGATAATGGTGAATCCTTTGTCTCTTGTTTGCTTCTTTTGAAATTAGCCATTTATTTCAGACCAATTTCGGGCTTGGAGGATTATTAGGTTACATTTTCGAGAGTTTAAAGAGACGGTGGGGAGTGTCGGAAACGAGGTTTGAAGAGTATTGATTGGCGAAATGTGGGATTATTAGGCTATTCTCAGGTCAGAGTATATTTATTTCCAGTTTCGGCATTTAAATAGCAATTTTTTCCTCATTTTTCCTCATTTTTCCTCAATTTCTCCGCCGTCATTTCCGTCCCACTTTTTCGATTCTACTTTATTGTAATTGTACTTTTAATTTATTTACCTTCAGGGATGGTGCATTCCGTTTGCAGTAGATGTTCGGAATTTTTGACGGTGGCTGATTACAAGGGATTAGGTGGAATGGCTACATGGGACATTACATTGCGAGGAGGCTGATTCTAGCGACAGTAGCCGGTTGCAACTTGCGTGAAGATGCTCCTCTTCAACACAATGCCAGAGTCTGATGGTGCTCGAGTACATACTCGTAATGTTGCAATGTAGATGCGTAATTACGTCTCTACGAACCGTTCAAGAGGAATGCTTGTAACGTTCAAGAGGAGTATACATAGCGTTCCAAGATACCAGTCTCCTTGCACAGATGCGGTGGGTCCCCTGGAGATGTTTGTTTTCTTGTAGCGGCAGTATTGCGCGAGATACAGTTGTTTTCCATTAAACGTTGGAAACAAAGATTCAAGATTCCCAGCAAAAATCCACCATGCCATGTCAAAGCATTCGTCAGATGACCAGGGCAACGTGTCGCAACACCGGCTCGAGATACGACCAAAGTCCAAGTATGTACAGTACAGCACGATATGTTTCATATATCTTCATTCCCGTTATTCCTTCTTGTGAAGTTCAATGACCTGTGCTGTGCAAGTGTGCTCCTTCTGGTATTCGTACTGGTACCGAACCATATCATGTACTTGATGTTACCCTATTGTGCCGAGGCAGGACTTGGAATGCGTAAATCGACCATTTTCGACGCGGAAAAGACGCCAATCGGATTTTCAGGGTCGATAAAAGTCATGAAAATCTTCAAATCTCAAAAAAACCCACTCTTTAAACCCATTTCGAACGGCCCCGAAGCCGCCTACCCCCAGTCCAAACCCTATTTGAAACTCTAGTTGCATCTCTCTCTGACCCCAAAACCGTGCTCTCCAACCATTGCACCACGCGTCACACACAACCACTAAAAGTGCCGAAATGCCGTCATTTGTGCGCTCAGCTGCCTCCAGGGGCGTCTCCATGGCCCGCAACTCCGGATTCGCCACCCAGACCACGCCCTGGAACCGCCCATCGTCGTACTTCAACTCGCCTCTGACCACCTCTAGCGTGCGGTATCACAGCTCCCAGGCGACCCAGAACCGCTACCAGGTCACTCCTCTGCTGTCCCAGCTGCCGCGACCCAAACGCCGACTTCTCGTCAACCCGGTGCCGTCTCTGAAGCGCGGCCTGTGCTACATCAACTCGTCCAAGCGACGAACAGCTTCCGGCAAGCTGCTCACTGGAGCTCGAAAGGTCGGCACAGGCTTCCGAGTCACCCGGCGATACGCCTCCAGCGGCACCCGAGGCTCCGCCAAGGCCCTCATGAGCATGTCGCAGCGAAAGTACTTCACCTGGTGGTTCGTTCCTGCAATCTCAATCGTGCTGTGGGGTATCTACCAGAGCCGACGCAACAGCGTCAAGGACGAGTACGACGAGGAAGGAAACCTCGTCAAGCGAGCCCCCGTCCGACCCTCAGGACCCTGGCACGTGGCCGTCTACTCTACCCTGCCTCTCAAGGCTCTGTCCCGATGGTGGGGTAGCTTCAATGACATTACTCTCCCCGTATGGATGAGAGACCCTGGCTACAGATTCTACTCGTTTGTGTTTGGCGCCAACTTGGATGAGGTCGCCGAAGACGACCTGCGGGTCTACCAGAATCTAGGAGAGTTCTTCTACCGAGAACTCAAGGAAGGTGCCCGGCCTATCGATCCCGATGCAGACATTGTTTGTCCGGCCGATGGAAAGGTACTCCATCTGGGAGCTATCAACGCGCGTGGAGAAGTGGAGCAGGTCAAGGGAGTGACATACTCCCTGGAGGCCCTTCTGGGTCCCCCCACCCCATCCAAGGATGGGGAAAAGTCCCATGCTGTCTCTCTGGCTGCCCCCACCTCGGAGATTGAGTTCCCAGATAACAAGGAGGAGAACAAGGACCGTGAGTTTGCTAACGTCAATGGTATTTCTTACACTCTGGACGACTTCATGGGTGGCAACGCATCTTCCGATACCACTTTCAAGCAGGAGGGAGATGCTACTACTACTGCTGAGCCTTCTGACAACGCCACGGTCGCCCAGGTCGGCAAGGATCTTCTGCAGGCCAAGTTCAACAAGTCCGACGACAAGGAGCTCTTCTTCGCCGTCATCTACCTGGCTCCCGGTGACTACCATCGATTTCACTCGCCCGTGAACTGGGTGGCTGAGATTCGACGGCATTTTGTCGGCGAGTTGTACTCAGTGGCTCCCTACTTCCAGAAGAAGCTGGGCAACCTGTTTGTTCTGAACGAGCGGGTGGCTCTGCTTGGAAAGTGGAAGTACGGCTTCTTTAGCATGACTCCCGTCGGTGCCACCAATGTGGGTTCCATCAAGATCCACTTTGACAAGGATCTTCGAACCAACACTGTATACGAGCCCAAGACCGAGTCCGAGGCTGCAGAGCAGGAGAAAATCAAAAAGAAGCGAATGCAGAAGAACACCTGCTACGAGGCTACCTACGGCAAGGCCTCCAAGCTTCTGGGTGGATATCCTCTTGGTAAGGGTGACCAGATGGGCGGTTTCAACCTCGGTTCCACCGTGGTACTGGTGTTTGAGGCCCCCACCAACTTCAAGTTCACCATCCAGCCTGGCCAAGTTGTGCGAGTTGGCCAGCGAATCGGCGAGATTGGTGGAAAGTAATATACGGGCATGTATAGGAGGACAGTTACATAATAGATAATGCATTGATTGACGACTACATATGTGGGGGGATGTAGAGATGGTTTAGCGATCTTGCCATGTTCTGGTTTTCTGGAAGGATCAAGATGTGGAGTTATGGAGAGTCGGTTCAAGCCATGACCTGTCAGTCAGAGGCTAACCATTTTCGCCTCGCTCAGAAATTAGAAGGAGACTTTGCCCATCCACATGTCCTTGTACATGATGAAGTCGCTAATGAGGGAATAAAGCGGGTACTTGAACGTGGCAGGCTTGTTCTTTTCGAAAAAGAAATGGCCGACCCATGCAAAGCCGTATCCTGCTGGTCCCAGTCCCAGCAGAAACTTGTATTTGCCGGTGGACAGGGCGTAGATGATTATCGCCACCACCAGGCTGGTTCCTGTGAAATGGAGGCGTCTGCAGATGTTGTTTGAGTGCTCGGAGAGGTAGTAGGGGTAGAATTCCCTGAGCGAGTGGAACGGTCCGGGAGTTGCAGTTGTGGCGGTTGCAGTTGTGGTAGCGGCAGGTTTCTCTGTCATTTTTTTCTGTTAGAAATGTGTGGTGAAGGATGTTGACAGTTTAAATTATTATTTTGTGGGGTACAGTACAGTAATTGTAAAAAAACAAAAAAAACATAATTAGAACAAAACAAAACGTAATACGAACAAAACATAAGAACAAAACATAAGAACAAAACATTAGAACGAAACATAACTAGAACAAAAAAAGGACATGTGCCTCTGGGGTGTGAATATCTGGGTTAGTTTCAGGCTGATTGAAAGTCGGAAAAGTGGAGGTGGTTTCAAGCTGCTGATTAAACACTTGGAATCAATTCGGGCTTTCATCTTTTCCATAAAGTGCGTGCAATAGTCACTTCATGTTCAGATTTCGGCTGCCATGTGAAAGTGCTGATGGAACTTTGTTAGTCAGCGATCGTCGAGTCCGATGTTAGAAGGTAGCAGCAAGTATTTGGCGATGAGGATGCTTTTCGAGAGTCTGGAACCGCGATGATAACTTGTTTCTCGTTCTGAACGGAACTACTATTGCTGGACATGAACTTGGGCGGTCGAGTATACTGTTTATAGTCTTGACATGAAAGTTGCGGCGAGCAAATTGAGAGTCAAGCAATGCACTCATAGAGTCAAGTAATGTATTCATAAAGTCAGGCAATGTATTAATAAAGTCAATTAATGTACTCATGTCTTATTTTCTTTAGATTTTCCTCTTTTTTCACTCGCATTTGGTCCACCTTCAACGGGTTTGCCTGGAATGCATTAAAGAGCCATTCTTCATGACCAAGCTCGGAGTGGAGGTTTTGGACGAGGTTCATGGTGACTTAACGACAATACACTCCATTCGAGTCATGTCTGTCTAGACTTGTCTTCTTTGTTTTCGGCATGTTCAAGTACAAGTACAAGTACAGTACTGCCACTCCAATCGAGCTGTTGCAGCCATCGTCCAGCAGACGGCGATTCTGATGATTTGCATGGCTAAATATCTGGGGTAACTGAAACACCCGAGTGCAATAAATACGCAATAAGTACGCAATAGATACACAATCAGGTACGCAACAAGTACTCAAACCTGTGAAGCAATTGACTGTAGCCAGCAACAAGTGTACTTGTACATCCAGAGACTCGTATTGTATCCGTATACAAATATATACTCAAATTACACAGCACAAGTACTTGTAACCCAGACCACAATTCTCCGAAGCAGCAACGGGATTCTTTCTACCATCTATCATCTCAGTCAGGCCGTCTCCAACCAGTTAGACCGTCCCTATAAGCACCCCGTATTTTCTACTCTTGCTCCCCCAGCAACGATAACACTTACAATGCGTCGATTATGCAGTCAATTTTTCGAAAAAAAATTAGTGTGTACCAGCCCCGCTGCCCCAGATCCGGTTAAGCTCAGTTGGGTAGCAAATGTGCGAGGATGCTACCAAGCGACAAACAGTACTATAGTGCAATATCGCTGGCTCGATTGACACTTTTGTCATTTGCAATTTGAGAGCAATCTCACCAGGCGGCACTTCAACGCGACACTTCGATTAGCTGCAGCAGAAGGAGCTTTTTTCCTGCATCTTTCAGTATTTGGTTCAGGGCAAAAATAAACCTTTCTTTCACATCACCTACCCCAACCGCGAATCGCCCCATCACAATCATGTTCACACCATTGAAAGCCTCCTGTGGTGCATTCATGCTCCATGAAGCCACAGACAACTACCTATTTAGCAACGGCCGGATTCTCGGAGCGTCATCGATCCTCTTTGGAGGCATCCAGCAGCTCCTGACCGACCCCATCAACGCTATCAAAACCTCGGGATCGGTCCACGTGCTCTTCGGCATGCTCCTATCTGGAGTGTCTACCTACCTCTTTACACCCATCTTCCTGCCCAACTACTCCGCCCACGTGCCCTGGGCTCCGTTTGGAACTTACACTAACCTGATTGCCGGACTGCTGGTAGGTTTTGGAACCAAACTTGGATCCGGATGCACCTCGGGTCACATGCTGTGCGGTCTCTCTCGAGGCTCTGAGCGATCCTTTGTCGCCACTGCCACCTTCTCTGCCGTTGCCATGATCACCGCCCGTGTCGTGGGCTCCCTTCCTTCCTGCTACGATGCCACTGGCCAACAAGTAGCCTGCCACCATATTGCCGAAAACTACAGCGCCGAGCTCCCCTACCTGGCTGGTCTTCTGGGCGTCATTCTGTTGCTTAGAAACCTCATCCCCAAACTCAACTTGTCTCTCCAGACACGATCCACCCTCTCGGCCATCTTCTCCGGCTTTGCTTTCGGCACCGGCTTGCTCGTTTCTGGTCTGGCTGCTCCCTCAAAGACGCTCGGCTTCCTCGCAGGTCTCCCTCCCAAGTTCGATCCTTCTCTGGCCCTCGTGATGCTCTTTGGTGTTCTTCCCAACGCCATCTCCGCCTGGAAGTCCGGCTACTTCACCAAGGTCAAGCCTTTGCTGACCGGAGACTTCTCGCTACCCACCGCCAAGGACGTGACTCCTCGTCTTGTCATCGGAGCTGCCATTTTCGGTGTCGGATGGGGTATGGCAGGTATCTGTCCTGGCCCCGGTATCCTTGGATCTTTCCTTGACGGTCTGCGAGGACTCTCATGGCTCGTCGGCTTCCTTCCTGCCTACTATATTGCCAGTCAGATTTAACCGCGCAATTGACGACATTGTAGATATATTGATCAATAGTACAAAAAAGCTCTACAAATACCAATTCACTGCCATAAAATTCATTAACATTATGCATTAATCATAGCCTCTACCGCACACTCAACAGAACCTCCAAACAGGCATCAAAAGTCGTAAACGAAACGCCAGAATTCACTCCATATACACACTTGCTGGTCACATGACACCCTGGCATGTTAGGATAAGAGCGGATCTCCGAGAAGGGGAATCGCACATTGACATCAGTTCGACTCTGACCTTTGTGAGTCAACAATTTGATGAAAAGCTCAAAGTGACCGTCAGAAGTCACATGGTATCGCGAATTAAACGCCAGTTTGATTTCCGACAGTGCATCAAAGAATTGGGTCACGTGGCTCCACGTCTTTGTGATCCCCGCAATGGTCTCTTGTCCCAGAGGCAACAGCTTGACCGCATCTCGCTTGTCGTCAGAAAGTGACGACTTAGCGGAAATGGCGACCACGAGATTCGAGTTACGTGACACAGTCATGCACAGATCTCGGGACTCGAACACTGCGTCTCCGTTGGGTTCGAATCTGGCGAGTTTGAGACCCTTCTTCTGTTCGGTCTTCTTGAGCTGTTCCTGGAGCTGCTCAATCTCTCGGAAATCAATGTGTCGGTTATCCAGCAGTCGTTTCTGCTGTTCCATCAACTGCGTCTTAATCTCGTCCTGTTTCTGGACCTCCTTGGCCACCTCAGACTCCAGTTCAACCACCGTCAAGTTGACCTGTTCCAGCTTATCAACTAGAGGCATGAGTTGCTGCTGGACTAGTTGCAGCTCCGAGCACACCTGTCGTTTGAGCTCCACGTCGGTGCTGAGGTTCTTGAGCTGGGTGAGCTGGGAATTGGACACGTCCAACGACTGTTTGAGATCAGCCACCTCAGTCGAAACAGTCTCACTCTCTTGATCAATAACTTTCAGATCGGAACGCAGAAGATCTCGGTTTGTCGCCAGGCGTTTATACAAGTCGATGGAGATGCTCTTGCGCCACTCGTACCACGACTTTCGTGCCTCCACTCGGTAATACTGCTTGTCGAGAGCAAACTGCTTGTTCAGTAGCAGCTTGACGCCCGAATCGGCACTGGTGTAGTCCACAAATATAGGTGGCACGTCGTTCAACGTCTCCTGATCAAGTTGGGCAAAATTGGCACTTCGAACCTCAATATCCTTGCGCAGATGCTCAACAGCCCAGGAGTAGAGCTGGACATGAGGATGCAGGTACGAATTGACAAGATACTGTGCGAGAGAGCACTTTGAGACATCGGGGTTGGGCTGGCGTTTACCAGGCAGCAGAAAGTCGTCCATGAACTGCATGTCGATCATCTGAAGGAACCTGGTCATGGTGAGAGAGTCAGAGGGGACAGCAGGGGATCCAAGGTCGCCAACTCGAGACAGAACGCTCTTGTGGTCACGCGACACAGAATTACCAATCCTGGACCCGAATTCTGCTCCACCTCGCTTGACCTTGACTTTTCGAGGAGTTGACAGAAGCTCAAACCGGTGTCTGAGAGACATGGGGGCGGTGAGATCCATACCGCCGTCATCGCCGTCCTCAAGTGACCGCTCGGGGGTCTCATCACGCGACAGCTCCGAGAACGGTCGCTTTCCAGGCGTAGACAATTTGGTAGTGGCAGGCGTGGAGAAGGGAGTTGAGAATTGAGTACCAAAAGTGCCACTATTTGTAGCCACCGTGACGCCCTGTTTGACTGGATGATGGAACATGCCTTCGTGATCTCCTCCTCCAGCGGAGTCCTCTCGTTCTGTGGTTTCAGCAATGGCACTGAGTGGTCGGTTACGATACTCCGGAGTAGAAACGTCGTCGGCGAGAGGGATGATCACGTGAGCCACACGACCATGATGGTCAGGCACGTGATCATCTCTCGGGGGCTCCTCGAGAGGCTCCTCCAGGGACTTCTCCATATCATCATTGCGCATCTGAGACAACAATCGTGTCGACGAGTCCAGTTGCTGTCCAAACGTGGTGAACTCGTAGTCAGTGTGGTCGTCACGTGAGACTCTTCTGTCACGTGTCAGTTTTGATTTAGGTGATTTTTGACCTTCATCAGAAGGTTCAGTCTCTCCTACTTCGATGTCACCTACCTCAATGCCACCAGGAACAGGACGAGTGAAATCCATACCGGTGCCAGTAGCTGTAGAACGAGTCATATTAGTGACGTTGGTGATGTTTGTGTTGGTGAAAGACATGTTGTCATCCTGGGCAGGAACTTCAACGGGTCTAGTAAAGGACATGTCCACTTCCTCTTCTTGAGGAGCGTCAACCGGATGAGTGAAAGACATTTCCCCATCGTCTTGCTCATTGGGTACCTCCACAGGTCGAGTAAATGACATCTCAACTTGACCATCATCAAGAATATCAACAGGACGTGTAAAGTCCATAGCTGATGTATCTGGAATTGTAGGAGTATCAGGAACAGTAAATTCCATGGCCGAGGTCTCGACAACAGGACCAGAAACAGGTTCCACAGGTTTAGTGAACTCCATAGAGGCGTCTTCGGTATTGGTGGCGGGAACAGGCATGTCAACAGGACCCGTAAAGTCCATCACCGAAGTGTCGGCGTTGGTGGTTGGAGCGGCTGCTTCTGCTGATACAGGCATTGCAGGGACAGTAAAGTCCATGGCCGAGGTGTCATCAGGTCTAGTCACTGGGACTGTGAAATCCATGGCAGAAGAGTCAGCGGTAATTCCAGCCACCTCGGTAAATTCCATGTCCGCCCCATCATCAACTCGACGTCGTTTGATTCCTCGAGGAGTATCGGCAGTATAAATGCTTCCTCGTCGGGGAACATTGGTGAAAGACATGTCACCATTATCATCCGGGATATCCGCTCTAACACGAACAGGCGCAGGAGTAGCCGGGATGGCAAACTGAGCACTATCATGGGTTCTTCCACCCCCAGGAACATTGGTGAAGTCCATGTCAAAGTTGTCCGCAACCTGTGACGTTCTAGGACCGTTGGTAAAGTCCATACCTGGAGATTCCCTTGCCATGGATGACCTGGGAACATTGGTAAAGTCCATGGACTCGTTTCCTATCTCCCTCACCCTGGGACTGCCTCCAGGAGACAATCCAGATCGAACGAGAACCTCCTCAGACACAATTCGAGCCACCGAAGGAATGGAAGCAGACGCGTATTCCATACCGTCTGAATCATGTTCGGAAATTCGACTCAACGCTCGTGTCCGCATCACCGAGTCGTCTAGTCTTCGGACATTGGTGAAATTCATACCGCTTTGGTCAGCAGCCCTAGCCTCAGCAATATCGCGCGCAAGGGTCAAATTGGTAAAATCCATCTCACCGGAATCGCGCGAATTTGAGCCACGTGACCCAAACGAGTCGCGATTCTCTTCTGAAGTGGTCCTTTCACCTCTCGGGACATTGGTGAAATCCATCCCATCGTCCTCTTCGGCTTTAACAGGACTAGCAAGACTCGTGTCATGAGAAGCGACGACGTTCACAGGCGGCGAGTCACGTGATCCACTATTTTCTCGCAGCCCAGAAATTTCTCTCAATCCCGACTTGTCTCGAAGAGCCACTTCTGTAAGCTCCATCTCCACCTCCCCAGACTCATCTTCCTCCACGAGCGTGTTTGTAGCCACATGGCCCAAGATGGAGTTCCTATCACGTGCAATTCCCAACAGTAATGAATCACGCGCTCCACTCTCACGCGACTTGCTCATTGCGCGCTGGAATAGCTCCTTGAAACTCGTTTTCACCACATTGCCACCCTTGTGGGCGGGGTTGGATAAGTCACGTGACAGATTCACAGAAGCATCGTACTCCCGTGACTCGGAAAACGACTCGCTCGCGGTAAACGAGTCACGTGACGGCCGGAAGTTGCCAAAGATGGTGCTGAGCGACTGACGGTGGTTGGCATCGCGTGCAGTAGCGGCAGCAACAACAGGCTGATCACGTGAAGTTGTTGAGTCACGTAAAAGTGCTGGGGTTGTTGTTGATGTAGTTTGTCGTAGGGCCTTTGCCTTGTCTTCCTTCTCCTCCCTGACCCTTTCCCTTTCATCCTTCCAATCCACGACAGCTCCAAAACCTGGCTTGGAAAACCCGCCGAACGACGACTGGGTCACATGAACGCGTTCCTGGTTCGACGCAAAATTCCTCAGCGGCGTGAGGTTTTCGAAAGTCGTCATTGTGGCCTCTGGAGCGAAAGATACCCGTCGTTTTGATCTGTTCAAGCTAGCTCTTGAGGCCGACGGTGCGGTTGAAGTTTCGAACGGAACTCCGATGACAGTGTTGTTGTCATCTTTCTTGAGGATTCCGCCTCGTTTTCTGCGTGGCAGCGGTAGCGTGAAGTCCGACATGAGCAGTGTTGTGTGGATGAGTAGTGTTGTTTCTGAGTTGATGATGTTTCTAGATATTTTGAGTTTGGTGTTGTTTTGATTCTGCAGGAGCGCTGAATCTTATCTGGGGAAATGGCGAGAAGCGAAGAATCGTGAAAAGTTGTATTTTGTACAATAATGGGAGCTTGGAAAGGTACAAGAGTTGATTAAAAGTTTTATTTGAACGTAAATTATTGCTGCTGTTGAAAATTGGACAATTTGGACGGGTATTGACTGTTGAACGTTGTACTTTTTGTATTGTTAAAAGGCGAGGGAAGATGAAGATCTAGGGGTGTGTTTTTGGGGAAAGGAAGCGATTGATGCAGGTTGGAGAGTTCACCTTACTTGCTCATATGAATACTAAAGTTACTTAACAAATTTCTGCTGTAGTTCCTGTTCTTCCTGTGTTTCAAGTGGTTCAAGAGGTTTTGATGACCAGATGAATAGGATGGTTCGGCGAGAAGGAGATGCTGAAGACAAATTGAACGTGGAATTTGGATAAAGAGATATGATGATACTGTATCTCCAAATGAACTTCTTAATTGGATACCATGGCCACATTGTGCTTCAGGAACAGTATGATGACTCTGTTGAGGTAAGTGAATAGAGGATGGTTGATTCGGAGTTGGTCTTACAAAAGGTCAAAACGAGGCCATAAGTACCGTCTTATCGTTTTGATATTGTACAAGTAATATTTATTGCGGCGAGTCCCCTTTTAGATAGGAGATGTGCCAGTACAATATGTATGTACAGTACATACATACTGTACTTGTACTGGTACTGTGCTTGAAGGTGGTGAAGGTGGGTGACAGCATCCTGCTCTAAAAATTAGCACTTTGAGAATATCGACAAGCTTGCCAGATTGCTCAAGGCGCTCTTTCAGATCTCTAGAACTCCACCAACTATTCGGGGAGAGACATGAACAATATCCTGTATACCACCCCTATATACCATCCTCAGTTCTTGTATACCACGAAGCAGACGAATTGATCAAAAAGGATCAGAGACCATCAACAGGAATATTGAACAATTCTCATCCATGACAATACCTGTAAAAATGGCTGTTTCAAGTTGAGCAATGAAAAGTTGTCTCTACAAGTACAGTACGGCAGTAAAGTAACATCAAACAGTCATCTTTAAACACATTACAGCACACACAATCCTGCTCAATCAATAAATAATCCTATCCTTTCCTCCTGCTCTTCTCCTCATCTGTCTTTAGTCACTCGATGTGATCTCCTTTTTCTTTTCAACCTGCGCTTTCGAGGCGCGTGAATATCGCGGTCAGAATCATTTCCACGCTGCTTATCACCCGCACCCACCTCGCTCGCAGCCTCCCATCTTTCTGTCTCCTCCAGAAACCGATTCATATCTGCCAGAGGATCCATTTTGGTCTTTGCCAGATCCGGGTTCATTTTGTTGACCCGCTTGTTAACCCTCTCCGGAGAATCAACTATCTTGTTGAAGGTTTGCAAACTCCCAACAGCCGCTTCCTTCCCGCCCTGTTTAGCTTCAACTACACTGTCGACTAAACCCGCCCGCTGACGCAGCACACAGAACCTGTCCAAACGTTCGGACTCAAGCTTGGAGTCACGTGACTCGAACTCGCGCTGCTCGTCACGTGCCACCCTGGCCTTGTTGGTCTCTTTTCCGGGATGGTACGACTTTTTGGTCGCCAGTTTCAGACCCATATGGTGTGAGTAAGAAGTGTTCAGGCGGGGCCACTGCCGGGTAACCGGGACCCCCCACCAAAAAAACAACAAAAAAAAAAAAGAAAGAAAAAAAAGCGTTCCAGTAGCCGCATGAAGAGCTCTGAGTTTATTTTGGAAAAAAAAAATAGGACATATTTCAGAGTCCGAAAAAGGGGGGTGGATGAATTTTTAAAAATCTGAGAAAACCATGACAGTTGCAAGAAGCACCAATTCGAACTCAGACCAAATTTACAGATTTTACAGGACTCGAAAACTGCCATTTTAACCGACTCAGTTCACCAATAACCTTTTTGTCATGTTACACTGGGCTGATAAATCGTGTGCACTCACGGAACTACAAGTAGTGCCAAAAGAACGATGAGGAGAGCTTGCGAGAGAAGCAAACAGCAATTCCCGCGTTATAGAGTCGCTTTCAGCGCCCGAGAAAGTTGCTCCTCCCTTATATCTGGGCCGCTCATCGATATACGGCAGTTCCGAGGGTAGCCCGGGACAGGGATCCAGGTCAGCAGGTTGCAGTGACAAATCCAATTTTCAAGGTGATTCCGGTCACGTGGCAAAAAACTAAGTAGACTGTTGGACTCGCACGGGCCTGCTTATCAAGATAGGGTCATATGGGGTCGTTTTTGGCCAAGATCCACAGTCCACAGCGGGTCTTTCTTCCGGGTCAATCGATCCTTATCTATATGTTTATTGTCATGTATGCATGTTGAACGTTGTACTTGTGAGAGGGGGATCAATGAGGCTGAGTTGAGGAGCTCTGGAAAAAACAAAACCACCAGCATGTTCTCCCACTCACGGCGAATCGAATGCACTTTTCAGTTTTATTGTATCTCCATCTCACGACCCGCAATCGCGACTCTCCTTCCCCTGCTTATGTCAAGGTTGATGATAAACTTCGTCCTGCAACACTAATAAAAATTTTTACTCCCAGCGTCTGGCACTACATAAGCGCCCCCTTCCGCTATGCTGTTTCGGAGGGAACCTCCCCACTTCCCAAAAAACAACATCTTCGAAACACGCCAATCTACAAGATGACCCAGACTTTCAAGGACCCCAAGGATGCCCAGGCTTTCCTCTCCACCTACAAACAGAAGGACGGTCTCGATGTCCACTCTCTGATGGACTCCTCTGTGCGAGGAGGTCTCACTTACAACGATTTCCTCATGCTGCCCGGCAAGATTGATTTCCCCTCTCACGAGGTGTCGTTGGAGACCAAGCTGACCAAGAAGATCACCCTCAAGGCTCCCCTTGTGTCTTCTCCCATGGACACCGTCACCGAGTCCGAGATGGCCATCCACATGGCTCTGCTGGGTGGTATTGGTATCATCCACCACAACTGCTCTGCCGACGAGCAAGCCGAGATGGTCCGAAAGGTCAAGAAGTACGAGAACGGTTTCATTGCCGACCCCGTTGTTGTCTCCCCCAAGCACACCGTCAAGGAGGTGTTTGCTCTCAAGGCCAAGCTTGGCTTCGCTGGCTTCCCCGTCACTGGTGAGTATCCGACACTGGCAGATCTTCCCTTGCTATAGTGATGATCTTACAACTTTCGTTCTACCGAATGACTTAACCGTCTTGGGGAGATGTTTTATTTTATACCTGACTCTTTTAGTGCCACAAGCGCTTTTTTTGCCACCGTGAAACCAAACTAACTCAGAAACCGGATGCATGTCTGGAAAGCTCGTGGGTATCATCACCTCTCGAGACATTCAGTTCCTCGACCTCGACGACACCCCCGTCGGTGAGGTCATGACCCCCGGTTCGGAGCTCGTTACCGCCCCCAAGACCATCGGTCTGTCTGCCGCCAACGACCTGCTCAAGAAGTCCAAGAAGGGTAAGCTGCCCATTGTCGACAAGGAGGGCAACCTCGTTGCTCTTCTGTCTCTGACCGATCTGCAGAAGAACCACGACTACCCCAACTCCTCCAAGTCTCCTGAGACCAAGCAGCTGCTCTGTGGCGCCGCCATTGGTACCCGGCCTGACGACCGAGAGCGACTCGAGAAGCTTGTTGCCGCTGGCCTCGACGTTGTCATCCTCGACTCGTCTCAGGGTAACTCCATCTTCCAGATCGAGATGATCCAGTGGATCAAGAAGACCTTCCCCGACCTGCAGGTTGTTGCTGGTAACGTTGTTACCCGAGAGCAGGCTGCCTCTCTCATCGAGGCTGGTGCTGATGGTCTCCGAATCGGAATGGGCTCCGGCTCCATCTGTATCACCCAGGAGGTTATGGCTGTCGGCCGACCTCAGGGTACCGCTGTCTACTCGGTGACCCAGTTCGCCAACCAGTTTGGCGTCCCCTGCATTGCCGACGGTGGTGTCCAGAACATTGGCCACATCACCAAGGCCGTTGCTCTTGGTGCCTCTGTCGTCATGATGGGTGGTCTGCTTGCTGGTACTCTCGAGTCTCCCGGCCAGTACTTTTACCGAGACGGCCAGCGACTCAAGTCCTACCGAGGCATGGGCTCCATTGAGGCCATGGAGAAGCAGGATAACAACGACAACGCCGCCACCTCCCGATACTTCTCCGAGTCCGACTCCGTGCTCGTTGCCCAGGGTGTGTCTGGTTCCGTCATTGACCGTGGTTCCATCACCAAGTTCATTCCCTACCTGACTGCTGGTCTCCAGCACGGTCTGCAGGACATTGGTGTCCGATCTGTTGCCGAGCTCCGAGAGAAGGTTGACAATGGAGACGTTCGATTCGAGTACCGAACCGCTTCTGCCCAGCTCGAGGGTGGTGTCCACTCCCTGCACTCTTACGAGAAGCGACTCCACAACTAAGTGTTGTGAATGTTGTATAACACGTAAAACATCTAGTCACTGCCATGTATATGTAAACATACTAGAATTGAATATTATTGATTTGAGCAACTGAGTGAGAAGGGTAGGATGACAGGAGATGCAATTGGTGTAAACTGAGTCCATAGGAAGTGATAAAGTGATATTTTCTTCTTTGGCGCATGGAAGAACCTGGTAGGATCGTGGGGCTACCATAGTAACAACGGGTAACGGAGAATCAGGGGATGGATAGATATTTCCACAGTCACTGAGAGCTGATAATGTCTTGGACTCGACCCTCGGCCATTGTAGAGATATGATGAAAGATAGCTGACAGAGCTAGACGTGATAGTCTCGGCTCATTCATTTGTTTCCACAAGTCAGATCCGAGTTGTCACGTATTATCTGGGAGTAATTTTGACCTGTTCACCCTTGATAAAGTAGAGATACTCCTTCTCGTCGACAGTCACGTTGGTCGGCCTGGTACCCCTAGACACATGCAGAGTACCGGTTACATCTTCGGCTCGTCCAGTAGGCAGCGGTCTCAGGGTGATAATGTAGTTCGTCTGGTGCAATAACTGGATTCCGAGATTGGTGTGGTTGGTAGCCAACAGAGAGGAGTCAGTTTCCAAAAGAGGTGAATCGGCCTGTATCAAGCACATGACGGCCTTGGATACCTGCTGAATCTGGAATATCGTCTTGACCATGTCCTGGACTTCCATGGAACCTTCTGCAGACCACAGATCGGGGTTCTCCAAAATCACGACAGCGTCCTTGTCCGCGTACTGGCACAGGTTTTCGGGGTTCTTGCCCAGCAGCGACACAATTCTCACATTGGGCAGCGCCTGCAGCTTGATTCCCTGGCGTCTGAGAGCCTCAATGTAGAATTCCTCGTCGTTCATGCTGGTGATGAGTATCACCTTGTCATGGCGTCCCAGTCGCTTCACAAACTGTGTGAGGATCCAGGAGCCGTTGACATCGTTGGTGGCGGTTACCAGGCCAAAGGTGCGGTCTTCAATCAGCTTTTCACCCGCAAAAATGCCAAAGTCGTTGAAGGTCGTCATTGTGCAGGGGAGTGAGAAAAAGAATTGAAATGAGAGTTGTCAGGTATGAAAAGTCAACTACATGCAGATAGGTTTTTGTTTAGACTGGGGAATGACTGGGTTCGATTCACCAGTGGGACAAATATTAGTTCCTACGGAGGGAGTACCTGGAAGCTCAGGATGGTGGCGGCATTATATTCGTACGCGTCGGAAACCACCCACAATTTTGGCTGCTCATTTCAGGTACTTTTCCTGGACATTTTGCAGTGTTAATATCTCCTGCGAACTCCCTCGTCAACTCAGGCCCTTGCACATCCATGGGTGAAGTTATAAAATATATAAAACTATAAAATATATAAAATATATAGAAAATATAAAAATATAAAACTATAAAACTATAAAATATATAGAAAATATAAAAATATATAGAAAATTTAAAATATATAGAAAATATAAAAAATATAGAAAATATATAAATAAAAAAATAAAACAACAAAAAACAACAACAAACAAACGCTCTTCTCCATGTCTTCTCCGGAGAAATCGAGTGATCTGGGTCAAAGGTGGGTCCCGGTGGCATACTGCACAATAATGACATAGATGGTGAATAATTTCTTGTTCACGGCAAATTCAGATGGCATTTCCAGTCAGCCCGCTGAGAACTATAGTTGACAATTAGTTAAGAAGAAAGTTGGGCTGGGGGTTCATTTTCACTGTTCCAGATGTCCCACAGAAATGCTAATGGGTTTTATCGATAGGCAGAATTGAGTATATCATAATATGGTCTTAGTTACCGTTTTCAGCAACATATTTACGGAGTTGGATGGCATTAAATGTTTGTACGGTGGGTATATTTTGTTAAGATTCTAGTTGGTTTCGACCCAGAGTCTAGATTGTAGAACATAGTCCGTAGACTCTATGAACGGACTAAGGAGAGAATTCAACCACAATGGAGCCATATGAAGGTGCTTCTGTGCTCTCAATTGCCCATCAAGAACCTCTGATGTCAGACCACTCCTCAGTATGAGAAGAGGATACTTGTCTACCTCAATGAAGAGCCATTTGCAATAAATCCCGTGACTTGAAAACAATGTCTAATGAAAGCAGTTCTATCAAGTGATCGCTGTTTCTCACCGTACTCGTACTCTACTCGTACTCTGCTCGTACTCTACTCTCCTCTCCTCCGTCCATGTATGTCTGATATCATTAACCCACCTCAACTAAAACCAGCAATATCTTAAGTGTCAGTCCAATGAGAGAATCCACCATCCTGTTTTGAACCATAGTCTCTGAACTGACATGTCTATGGTCAAAGGTATTGTAGTATACGTACCTTGCAGGGATGTGGACATGCTCCTAATAACTACACATCGTCAAGAGCCATCGCCGTCAGATACCAACTTCAGGTTGTAACAAGTATCATGCCATCGTCTCGTCTCTCATCGGTTCGTTGACAGATTCCGGAGACCTGCATATAGTGTACATTAGTATAAATATTTTACGGTTCTTTTCCCTCGAGACTCCTTTTGACTCTCTCACTGTCTCCCTCGTCTATACTTCCTCTCTTTACGTTACCCACTCCTCTTCGCGACTCTGTGGTAGCCACAACAGACGGCAGTTGAGTAGTGGCAGTAGGAGTATCACTGGGAGTAGTTCCAGCCGGCGTGCTGCTGCTGATGCCCTCCACCAGCTGGTAAACATTGTTCATGCGCATGACCATGCGTTCGTAATACCGTGACAGCACCTCCACCTTGGGCACAATGCGATAGTCGACTCTGACGAGAAACTCCACTTCCAACAGATTCAGCTCGGCCTTTGAGATACCTCCGACTCGTGCATAGTGTCCATTGGTGCGGAAACTGTCGCAGAGACCCTTAGATCCAACCATACACGTGGTGATGAGGAAACGATGCACCGTCAACGAATTGATGTTGAAGGTGGAGAAGGTGCGACATAGAAAATCTATGTAGTAAATGACGGTCAGCAGAATTGATTTTTCCAGCGAGCAGAACCGCACGATTCGAATGAGATAGTCCTTGATGGAGATTCCTGGTGGACTTCGCGAATGGAATCTGGTCAATTGGGCAGGATCGAAAGGAAGCGCGTCGTTGACAGACACTAACTCCTCCAACATGGAAGACACCAGAATGATGAGATGTTCTATTGGGCAATCGAAGAACGACTGTGGCAGCAGAACATGCGATGATATCGATTGCTGTGACGTGTCCTCCTCGCTTTCGTCAATGTCTTCTTCTTCCCCAACCTCGTCATCAATTTGAGTCGTTTGAACTTGTCCGCGTCCATTCTCACTCCCCAACCCCGTTGTACTTAGAGCGCACGTGACCTGGCCCACGCCACTCTGCCGATGCTTGGATGGATGCTCCACAGTCGTAGCTGTTGGTTCCGTAATCAAACTGCTGTATTGTTGTTGCTGTTCCGGTCCCGGTCCCGGCTGCGGTTCCGTCGGCGGCGACTGTGGCTGTGTCTGTGTCTGAGCCTGTTGCTGGGGTAACGGAGTGGGCTTCACCTCCCGCTCCATCCCTTCATCTTTGTCTTCTACCCTTCGAAACGGAGAAGGCTCACCATACGCCATCATTGTCCGCTGTGTAGATCTGGAGTGGTGCTGTACTTGTGGCTGAGAGGTAGGTCGGTGTGTCGAAAAATGCGTTCCTCCAAATCACGTGATTTTGTATTCCGCACAAACAGCACTATACCCGCTAGGCTGCTTTCTCGGAACGGTTGTGTACTGTAGGGGAGAGGATGAGTGTGTGGTGGGTGGTGATGGAGGTGGCCAACACTATGCATGACGAGATATTGGCGTGAGTCTAAATTTCAGTCGGACGAAGGCTGGTAGAAGGACGAGGAGTAGCTTGATCGGAATTTTGAAGCCGGATTCGGACTCGTCGCGAGCCTGCGAATGCCATCATTTGTTCAGAAATCAATTTTGGACAAAAACCAACCCCCCGAGAGCCACACCTCGACGTCTACACTTTTGAGTGGACAATTTTTGTGCGTCTGTTTTTTTAACCTTTGCATGTTTTGGTTCTCGATGTTATGGCCGGTTGGAGGGGCGGTTTGGAGGGGCATCAAGGCGACCGAAAACGGCCCCCAGCACCTCCAGACTCAGCTCACGTGACAATATGATTGATATCCGTCGAAATCGCCGTCGAAATCGGTCCCTTCAGTGTCGTTCTACGTCTTCTCCGAAACCTCCTGCATCCCATCGTATGTACATACAGAACTTGTACATGTATGATAGGAGGAGTGGGCAATGGTTGTTGGGCAGATAGGTAGGAGATGTGCATAAGTTGGCGAGCGGCGTTTCAACGGCGTCATGTCGGCCCCAGTTTTCGATTTTCACCACTCGATTTGCCCCACGGGGTCACCCACCAGCACCCCTACTGACTCTCTCGATCTTGAGTCTCCAATGTTACCGATTCAGTTTGAAGTCTCAAATTTGGGACAGCAACTGTGAAGCCGTGGGGGGACGTATTTCGAATTTGGAAATTGGTAAATATGTAGAATCACACACAGATTCGATCGAAACAACAACCAGCCAGATTGGAAGCCGACAGCCCAAGAAAAATGCCCTGCAACTTCCCATCCACTCATGTCGGCACGTGGGACAAAGTTCACAATACGCTCTGTCTCCCATCACGTGCGAAGAGATCGACACTGTGCTCTGGAACGGTTGCACAACGTATGTATGTGCCACAAAGGCCTCCAACGGGTTTTGGGACTGGGTTGCTTATGTTGCCCGCAATTGCTGGGTTTCTCGCATCGTCTGAGCATGCACTAAACCCCGAGATGTGGGATAACGGTTTTGCCAAGTTGTCGGATAACGGTCTTGCTGGTACGAAAATGGAGCTGAGTAGCTAGCGGTTCCGATGAAGGAGGTGTTTTCACGCAGCGTTGATATCGGTGATCGATGGCGATATCAAGGACGAACAAGAGAGGAATGTTTTTTATTTCTTTTTTATTTCTGTTTTTTATGTTTCCTATTTTTTCTGTTTTTTTTTTTTTTTCCTATTTTTTTCCCTATTTTTTTCAATTTTTTTCAATTTTTTTGAATTTTCCCAATTTTTTTTTCAAGTTATTCAATTTTTTTAATTTTCAATTTTTTCCCAATTTTTTTCCAAAATTTCCAAAATTCGGATTTGTAAAGTATTGTCCAAGTGTAATACTTGGATTTTGTTACATTTTCAGGAGTGACATGGATAGCTCCAAAAAGGCTTCTTAATATTACTACAGGATTACAGGATTGACAACACTGCCGTCTTTTTCCTCCGGTATAATACACGTTATAAATATATACAATGCTGTAGCTTGTGTGTGACAATATTGACATGCCCTTCACTTCTTGGCGTAGCTGACAATGAGCTTCTCGCCGTCAATGTCAGCTCCCTGGCTCTTTTCCTTGGCCACCACGGCCTGAGCCTCGGTCTCAAACTCGGCAAAACCAACCTGACGAGCAGGCACAAGACGCACTTCCACGTAGCCGGGCAGATCTGAAAACAGAGCAGCCACAGTATCTTGGGAGGCCGACTTGGGAAGGTTCTGGAGCAGCAGAATCTTGTGCACGGGGTTGTAGGTGGTTTCTGTGCTTGTCTTGGCCTTCTTTGCCGGCGTTTCGGCTGTTCTGACAGGTTCCGCACGTCGTTTGTTGGAATCGGACAGCTGTTTGAGCTCCTTCTGAGCCACTCTTGCTCTCACATGGGCGTCCAGCTCCTTGTCTCCCTTTTTGGCCATCGTGGCATCACTGGGGGATTTGGCGTATGTCACCTCCACTACGGATCCCTTCAGACCGTCCACCTTGGTGCTGTTCAACGCTGAGATGGCAGACTCTGCCGAGTCAATGCTATCAAACACCACAAATGCCTGTCCTCTCAGTCGCAGATTCCCATGGGCCACCACATCCAGCACGTCGCCGTACTCCTTGCATATCTCCTTCAGTGTCGTTTTGAGGGTTGGGATCTTGATCTTCTCGTTGATGTTGCGAATGTATATTCTGGGTTAGTAGTTGGTCGTAGAGGCGCGGATCTTAGCTGTGTATCAGAATCCAGCATTTCGCTTCAAATCAAAAGTACTCACGTCTCGCAAGGAGCTATGGATGCCATTTTGTGTGTGTTGTGTGGATGGAAGAAAAAGGTGGTGATGTTGATGCACAGTGGAGTGGGTTGAAAAATAGAGTTTGGCCATGGAGCAAATCGACTTCGGCTGAAAAGGCCGCTAGAGAGGTCCAAGGGAGACGAGGGTTGACAAGCCTGAGGCGAAGTATGGCAGATAGATCCATATCAAATTTGAAGCTTCCAGACCCATTATTGGCTAACTTAACGCCACCCAAAATATGTGTCATTTACTTGACATGTTTAACAAAGTTGGAAGTTATTTACTATGCTTATTCTAAGTAATAGGGCAAGATTAAGGGCTCAGAAAAAGACAGACCCAGGCTATTTATAGCTTTACGAGGCAGATAAGAACGCTGTGACTGTCTATGTAACCTGTGTGATACCAATTATAGCATCTCAATTAGCCAATTGCGCAATATATAAAACCTCATTTTGTCTTAACAAACTCCCAATTTACACTTGAAAAGTTGTTCAGTCCAAACCTCCCATTTTCTTAGCCTCCAAACTTTGATCTTGCTCCAACATGTCTCTACAGTACGTACTGTACTTGTACTTGTACACTTGACAACAACATGTCGGAAAACATTGACAGTATCCTGCAACAAGAGGACAAGGAGCACTCACGTGACGTGGAGATTGAGCGCATTCTTGGCGCGTTCCAGCTGGACGCTTACTCGGTGTTGGCGCTCCAACCGGGCTGCAACACGGAGGTGATCAAGCAGACCTACCGCAAGAAGTCACTTTTGATCCATCCGGACAAGACCAAGAACACACGGGCGCCCGACGCCTTCGACAAACTCAAGAAAGCCGAGAAGGTGCTGCAGGACGACAAGTCACGGGAGCGGCTGGACAGCGTGTATGCCGATGCGCGGACAGTTTTGATCCGGGAGAAAAAGTGGACTATCCACGACGAGCGACTTAAAGGGGAGGAGTTTCTGAGCGAGTGGAAGGAGAAAACCAAGGATCTTCTGATTGAGCGGGAGCTGCGCAAAAGGCTGGCGGTCAAAGCCAAGATGGAGGAGGAGGGCCGGATGAAGAGAAAGCTGGAGGAGGAGCAGGAGGAGAGAATGAAGGCGAGATTGGAGCAAAAGGCCTGGGAAGATGGACGCGATACCAGAGTGGGTAATTGGAGAGAGTTCAAGAAAAAGGGGGGAGATAAGAAGAAGAAGCGCAAGTTGTTGGGCTAAAGAGAGAAAGAGAGGGGGAGTGAACCTTGCAAGCTGCGAATCTGGCCGGCTGCGAGATTCGAGGATTGATGCAGCGGAACACGTCTGGATGACGAGGACTCTATGTGAAGGTTTCCCTCTTGAGACGTGTTGATACGGGTTGCATGGTTGGCAGGTATTGGTTACTTGTACTCGCACGCGCTGTGATTGGATGTACTCGCTCGCACTGTGTACTTGTACTCGGACTCGTACTCATACTCGGACTGTACAGCACACAAGAAGATCCACTGTATGTATACTAAATGATATTTATTGATCTGATGTAGACTACAGGACACCTACTGTGGTACACAAGACTTGGGCACATTATACAATGATGCACGGTTCCTCAGGAATTGACACCATTGACTCCATTGACATTGACATTGACTCCAACGACACACCTCTCCGCCAGAATGATGGGTTAGTAATCATCACGGCTTTTGGGTATTTTGTCAAACACAGTTCAGATGCAAAACTCACTCAGTTGCGCTCTTTGTCGTTCCAAAATGCCTCTGACCTTGGAAGATATCCGCAAGGTCTACGAGAGAATATATTTCGATGTTGGCGAAACCAAAAGACTGCACTTATTTCTCGACCTCAAGCTCACCAGTTATTTGTACCATGCGGTGGCCCTGGAAGATACCAAGACGGAGGAGCTGATTGACTACCCCGACGCTCGGTTGAGCGAGCAGGAGCAGCTGGTGGAGTACCATGAGTGCGAGGGAGATGCATTGTTGGTCAAGTTTCCCACCGAGAACCGATTTCTGACCCAAGAGAACGAAAAGGAGCTCAACAGTGAGAATATCTCCGACGCTGTGTTTGAGTGTCTGAAGACAAGGCTTCGGAAGCGAGAACCGCAACTGACGGCGGCTGCCAAGATCAGACGGGGTGGCGACTTCGATTTCCACATCATTTCAAAAGAGGGAACAGCAATAGGAGTGCATTCTGTGGTTCTATCTGCTGTCTGGCCCTTCTTCAAGGCTCTGATGGATTCAAACATGCAGGAGACGGCCAACAGAAGACTGCTGTTATCCTATCCGCACGAATGGGTGGAAGCATTGGTCTCGTACTTGTACGAGGAAGAGCAGCAAATGGGTTTCGAGCTGGCCTCGGGCGTTTTGGTGCTGTCAAGTGTCTACGATCTTCCCGAGTTGACCGCCATGGCCAGAACGCGGGTGCTCAAGGAGCCTCTGGACACTGTCAAGAGTCTTCTAGGATGGAGAAATGCATACGAGGCCCGCTGTGAAGAGGTGCAATTGCATATGGCGCGGTTTTTGGCCGGTCACAGACACGAACTACACAGCAGCGGGGCTTTGGAGGAGCTGTCTCTGGAGGAAGTTGATCAGCTGGAGGAGGATTTGAGGGTGGAAGAGGAGACATTGAGGGCTTAAAAGTGTTTTAAAACTTGTCTCTTTATAACATAGCTGTCTTATAGTAGCGAGAGACTTTACAACTGCTGTAGTTACTGGTACTCGTACTGTATGTAGCTCTAGCTAGCTCCTGCTAGTTGTTAGGTTTTGTTAGCTTTGTTAGGTCTTGTTAGCTTTGTTTCTTGATCAGCTTTACAAAAACGAAACATTAACAATCCACTATATCTCAGCCAAAACGTAAGCAATCGGACTGAAAATTTTACTACTAGCAGACACAGCCATCAGAAACCGCTTTCCCAATTTTGATGCCAATTGCTTGTCATTTAATATCATCTTTGCCCCCCCCTTCAAATTACGTCTCCCCGCATGGTCTTGCGGCTAACATGCATATGCTGCACTCCTCCAACTATAGCTGACCTGACTGGATCTAGACATCAAGACAACTCACACCGCCAAACACATGTCGAGCGAGCGGCGACCCGAGCTGGAAGAAACTGCCGTTGACCCGGCAACGGGCTCTGCGGCGTCTCGAAAGTTTTCCATTGTCCAGGACGCGGTGGAAACGACAATTGTGGCACCGACCAACCATGGGCCCTCTCCTCGGTTTTCCACTCTCGTCCGCAACCTGTTCGAGCCGCTGGTCAATCTCTCGGCCGTGGTTGCAGCTCTGCGCAAGAAACCGACCGAGGCCAAGGCTCACATTGCCTCTCAGTTCATCAAGGGGTGGGTAGAGGAGGTTGGCAAGGACATTTATCCTGCCTTCCGTCTCATCTTACCGGACAAAGACCGAGAACGGGCCGTGTACGGGCTCAAGGAAAAGGCGCTGGGCCGTCTGTGGGTCAAGGTGCTCAATTTGGCCAAAGATTCGCCCGATGCCAAGGCGTTGAGTGAATGGAAACAAGGAGGCAACGAAAGCGCCGGCAACTTCTCCAAACGGTGCTACGAAGTGCTGAGCAAGCGAACCAGTCTTACCGACTACGGCCATATGACCGTGGACGAGGTCAATGAGCGACTGGATCTTTTGGCCGACGGAGAAACGGACCAGGCCAAGCAGATTGAGATTCTAACCTACTTCTACAAGCACATGAACGCCACGGAGCTCAAATGGCTGGTGAATATCATTTTGCGGCAGATGAAGATGAACGCGACGGAAAAGGTGTTTTTTGAGCCCTGGCATCCCGATGCCGAGTCCTTGTTCAACGTCACTGCCAGTTTGAAACGCGTCTGCTGGGAATTGACAGATCCTACTAAACGGCTGACTTCCGCAGAGGCCCAAGTGTCGTTATTCGCCTGTTTCATGCCGCAAATCGCCGCGTTTCCGAAATACTCGGGCCAGGACATTGCCGGAAAACACTTCAAGGGCAGACCGTTCTACATTGAAGAAAAGATTGACGGAGAGAGAATGCAGATGCACATGAGCGAATATGGCAACAAGTTCCACTGGTGGAGCAGACGGTCCAAGGACTTCACCGAGACGTATGGAAACTCTCTGGATGACGCTTCTGGCTCTCTGACCAAACGTCTTAGAGGTATCATCAACCCCAAAGTCAGAAACTGTGTGCTGGACGGCGAAATGGTGGCTTATGATCCTGCCACCAAGAAGATTATCCCGTTTGGAACTCTGAGAACGGCCAACCGAAACGAACAGAACGACCTGAACCTCACTAAACCCATGTTCATGGTATTTGACATTCTTTTACTCAACGATAAGCCTCTGGTGGACTACACTCTAGCTGAGCGCAAGAGAACACTTCGGACCATCTTTGCAAGGACTGATAACGAGACTGTGGGTCAGGAAGGAGTTCTGGAAGTGTTACCCTACACCGAGGCCACCACCGCTGCTGAAATCGAGACTTGCATGCGAAAGATCATTGCAGAGTCGTCCGAAGGACTGGTCATCAAAGACCCTACTTCTGTCTACAGGGTGAACACTCGAGACGATTCGTGGCTGAAAATGAAACCTGAGTACATGTCTGAATTCGGCGAGAAGCTCGATGTTGTCATTATTGGAGGCTACTACGGTTCAGGAAAACGAGGCAGTATTCTTTCCTCGTATCTTTGCGGTCTTCGGGCTGATGGATCGGACCAGTTTTGGTCCTTTTTCAAAGTGGGGGGTGGCCTGACTGCGGGTGACTACCAGGCTATTCGCACCAAGACCGAGGGCAAATGGAAACGATGGGACAAGAACGACAAGCCCAAAAACGTGCTTCTGGCGGGCCCCAATGGCGACCTAGAACGTCCAGATGTCTGGATCGAGCCGTCGGACAGTGTGGTGGTCGAGGTCAAGGCTGCTTCAGTAGTTGCTAGTGACCAGTACAAGGTGGGGTTGTGTCTGCGGTTTCCTAGATTCCGAGCCCTGCGACTGGATAAGACATGGGAAGACGGACTGACCATTTCTCAGTTTGCGGAGCTCAGACAAACAGTTGAAATGGAGGCTGAAAACAAGGAGTTGGAGCTGGAGGACAGAAAGAGACGCAATGCAGGTCCCGGAAGAGGGGCCAAACGGCTGAAACTGGCAAACGTGTCTTCTGACGAAGACGAGCTGGGTACTGATGAAAGGCCGACGTCTGTTTTCAAAGCCACGTCTTTTGCTGTGCTCTCAGACATGTCTTCTCCTCGGTACATGTCTAAAGCCGCGGTGGAAAATCTCATCAAGAAGCACGGAGGTACTGTGTTTCAGACGGTCGAAGGACCACACACGATTCCCGTTGCAGACACCCGAACTATCAAGGTCCAGGCTCTGACTAAACGGGTCCATGGTGTGGATGTGATTCGACCCAACTGGCTGTTGGATTGCATCAACGAGGAGAAACTAGTGGCTCTGGAGCCGCGAAATCTGCTGGAGTCGAGTGCCGAAACACTTGCACTTGCCAAGACAAATGTCGACGAGTTTGGAGACAGTTACACCCGCCCTCTGACCTACAAAGAGATGCAGGAGGTGTTGCGGTTCATGGACCAGTTTGATCTGGATCAAACAAACCCCCCTGACTTGATGATGGAGGTTCTGGAAACCAATGATGGAGCCGTGCCCAAGGGAATGCTCTTCTATGGCAAAAAGGTGTACATGTCGACTTCCAATATGGACACTGTTGCTCTGGAGACCCAGTTCAGAGCCTACGACGCCTTGAGATGCCTGCAATTTGGAGGAGCCAATCTCGTGACCGACATGAAAGACCTGGTGGTGGCGGTTGCCAAAACGGAAGAGGAGGCTAAAGAGCTGAGAAGGGTGTCCTCGGAACAGGTGTTTCCGTTCAGAGTGGTGTCCATCAAGTGGGTCGAGGAGAGCTGGAAGAACGGAACGGTGGAGATTGAGGACGATTACCCTCTATAACCCTTCAAATAACACTCCATATGGAAGAAATACACCTGCAATCAAACTACTCGTATTCTAGCCGTCAATATCATTTTCATTACTCATTATTCATACATTGTCATCAATCATTTTATCCCGGATGCGGAGCAGAACGTGTAATATGTGGACACGGCGTCTACAATAAGCCACGCTAAAAGGTGCTTCCACCAAGCAACGATGCTGCCATCTTGGCATCCACCCTGCTCTCGTCCAGATCGCCCTCATCTACCTCCTGGTCCTGATCCTCGGCTCGCACCTTTCGGTCTCCCGACCAAGCATCGCCTCCAGGGCCCTGGGACCGGGTCTGGGCCTGAGAAGCACCCACCCGCTTTCTGCCAAGACGAGAAAGACCGCCCCGAGCTCCGTCGGCAGCCCGGACATCGCCTCGGATGTTTTCCCACACAGCAAGCGTCCTTCGCTCGCACTCAATGACCCGCTGGGTCACTTCCCGCACGGCCTGGGTGAGATCCTCCTCGACGTTCTTGGTCAGCTTGGTCTTGCCGATACACAAGGCGTCGGAAATGCGCTTGAGACGGTTCGAGAGCCGAGTCTCGGCCCGCGTAGCCTCCTCGTACAGAGCAATGGCCTCATCGACCTTGTGGGGGTTGTGCTGGCCGGAGATTTTGATGCGCTCAGCGGCAATATGCTTGTTCTTGGCATTGGTTTGCAGAGTCTCTAACTCCCGCATCAGCAAGTGCCGGTTGGTCAGCTGCTCCTTGGCCACGTAGCCGGTCTGGGACACTAGATCGAGGGGATCCACAAACGATGCAATCTGGACAGCAGCTCGCGCGTAAGCAATGTCAGACACAGACACAAGTGCCTGGCCGAATGCGGCAAAGACAGGGCCCAGATCACGGGACCGCAGAGCTGCTGCGCCGGGGTTCAGTACGTCGCCACAGGCAATGGTCTTGTGGCCTAGCTCGGCCAGACCGAGGGCAAGTTGCCGCTCAATCTTGCATTGGCGTTCGTACTTGGACACTGTATCGGATCCAGTATTGTAGAGAGCCTTGACCACCGGTCGGAAGTCACGGAGCTCAGCATTGTCGTCTAAGGGGGGAGCCCACTGCTTCATGGCCTTTCGCTTGAGACCGGTGGCGGGGGGTCGTCGCTTTACGTTGGGGCTGTAACCAAAGTCGGCCTCCACGAAAAAGCGCATTTCGTCGTCGCGACACAAGATGGGGTCGCCACAGACCCGATCCAGCCAAGTCTGCATCACCTTGCGGGCCTGTTCGGCGGCATGGGTGTTGTTAGAGTTGCCGATAGATCCGGAAGGCAGCGCGGGGACAGCAGGCACAAAGCACTCCGCGTTGGCGCCGTTGAGATGCTCAAACAGCGCGACGAACTCGCCGTGGGTGCGCCGGATGTCTCGATAGTGCGAGGTGCGGTACTTGGGGAAGTTGGTGGTGCCTTCAAGGCGATAGATGATGGTTTTGCCGGGCTCTATTGCCATGACTCGGATCTTGAGGAACCGCTTGACCGGCTTTTTCGTTTCGCCGTCAGCAGGCTTGGTGGCGGAGATGGCATCAGCATCGGTGGCTCCGTCGGCAGGGGCAGGGGCAGCGCCGTCGACAGCAGCACTGTCAGCAGCATTGTCGCCACTGACGACTTGGTCGCTTGCGCTCTCTGCCGTGTCGTGAGCCCCCTGCTCGCCAAACCCCCCATGAACACTGACGCTGCCAACGTCATGCGCGTCGTCATCACCGTCCTCACCCACAAACGGCTTGTTGTCGTCGGCAGGCTCCTCTTCGTAAACCGCATTGGACGTCTCATCCGCCTCGCCAGCCCCGCCAACATTTCCCTTGTCATCGTCGTGGTTGTTGAGGACACCGTGTCCGTTTTCACTCTCCGCAAACGGATTATCAAACCCGTCCGGATTGTAGGGCACTGCAGAAGCCATCTTGTCTCTTGTCGTGTCGTGTCGTGTCGTGGCGTATGCGATGCAGTCTTGTCTCTTGTGTCTGCCACTCTGTGTGATGTTGCTGTGTCTGAATTCGCCGTTGTTCACCGCTTCTCTTCCTCTGTCTGTGTCAACTAACTGCCCTGTACTATTGTTTCCGCTCGGTCGGTCTCTCAAGTACTCAACTGATGAACAGATGTGGTGGTGGTGTAGGAGTGAGAATGAGGTGTACACTAGAAAAGTGAAATGCGCATCCTTGACATGTCTAAACCTTAATTTCAAACTGTGGTGTGGAGATTTCAGCATCCCTAACCCTGAGACGACGGAGTACTTAGCCGCGGAGACGGAGCGAGCGTGAGTACCAAGTAGCGAGCAGGTACGACGACGACGACGACGACGACGACGAAACGGCGGGGTCGCGTGACCGCTAATTATTTACTCTCTCTGGAGATCACGTGACCCGCGAGAGTCAGTCTCTGTCTGCCTCTCCCTCCCTTCCCTTCAATCTAATCAATCTGATCAGAGATGCAGTTGGCGGTTCTTTTATTGGTTGTATTTGCATGCCAAGAAAGAGAGCCCTGTAGGGTGGTAACGGCGATATGGCCCCGGGGTTTGAGGGAAATGGGGCGGAGATGGAGGGGAGATTGAAAGGGGGAAATGGTTGTTATGTTTGGTTTGGTTGATTGGCGTTTAGTTTGTGCGGATCGGGTTATTTTTGGGCGTTCTGGTGTAGGTGTTGTCGCGGTGGTTGATAGGGAGAGGACGAACTTTTTTTCTTCGAGAATTGTATTTGGCGATGTTGGTATCAAACATCAGCTTTTCTATGCGCCCATTTCCTTCTGATCGAGGCAGAATCGAAAATCCTTGCTCACTCCCTTGGCGTTGAGCTATTCACCATCGCCTCCTACCACCAGAGTTCTAACTGTATGGCTGAGAACCGCGTTTCTCGTCTCAAGACTGCTCTTGGTCTCAACGTGGTCCCAGCTGTACACGGAGAACGGTTGATGCACTGAGAACGGTTGATGCACTGTTCCTTCCTATTGCCTTCCCTCCACCATGCCCGTGCTCTCTAGAACCCGAGAGGTCCTCAAAACCTCGTCTTAGACACAATATAAAGACGTCTACGCGGCTGGCTCCAATGAAGTCTCCGGCAAGTACCGGTAGTAACTTGATGATCAGCCGTGTTGGAAAAACTGAATGGGAAAAGTAACGGGAAATCTCCTCGTGATCCACGTGAACAAATAGGAGAGCACGGGCTAGGTTAGAGAATTCGGTGCGCAACTCGTTCCAGGAGTTGGGGCGCAGGTTACCCAGAGCAGGACTCACGACAGGTGAGACCAGCTTACAGAGTAGAGACGGAGTAGCGGGCCTGGTAGGCTCCGTCGTCGTTGCCAAACTCCCGGGTAGTCGAACTTGATGATCAATCATGCCCGGACCTCTCTCGAATCTGGTGCTGGAGATGTCTCGACGCAGGGAGCGGACAGGAGGGATGAACGATAGCTGAAAATGACAGTCCAGCTATAGATGTTGAAGAGATGACACTGGAGCCATGGCTCAGACTCCGGAGTGTTCGACGGCAAAATCCTCAACATCCCATTCGGAGCTCCGTCGATTCTCACCAACGCCGCACAGTAGTCTAACCAATCTGTCCACGAGTCTTCAAGAGTCGTTGGAATTCTTTTTCGGACCAGCCCGAGTAGTGAGAACCGCCATCTCCAGAATCACCGTTTATCTGCAATGCGATCCGGATATTTGTTATCTGACATGCTCCACTTGACAAATCATTGGCGAAGGGTGCTGCTAGGATCAACACCATGAAGGCCAAGGACTTGCTGGTTCTGGCGGTGGCTCTGACGCTGATGGGGGGTTTCATCTCGTGGATGTCGATGGAGCGCTTCAGCGAGGCGTCAGGGTACGCCCGAGTGGCCCAAAGGAACCTCTTCGACCGCCGAATCAAAACATACATTTTGACCACGTCTTGTGAAAGACGATGCGACCATCTGACCAGGTGGATCCCTCAGGGCACTTTTATGTTGGACGCAGACACCGCGGAGGTGGCCCCAAGGTGCAAGACCCACTCTCAATGGGACTACAAAACCGTGCCGAACATACAAGTAGGGCGAACCCCCGGTCCCGCGCCTGCAAAAAAGTACAGGTCTCCTGAGAACGACAAAGTGCGACTCATGAGCTCAAGGACCCTGACCAAAAGTTCCGCACGCCCGAGTTTCAAGACTGGATGGTTCAGATCGAGGCCAAGTACAGAAACAAGTATGCCCAGACGCTGCGGAACTGTGTCGAGGGAACCCACGAGCTGTGTATGCTTCTGGAGGACGACATTGTGTCCATCAACAAGCCCGACGTCAATCTCTTCAGACTGGCGGCCCACACGATCCCGAAATACTCTGGTCCGGAGCTGTTGTGGGATTGTACCAAGAGAGGTAATGGATGGAGGTCTCGACGTATTGACGGAAATAAATGCCAGTGTCGAATTGTGCACAGAGACTATGCTGGGTGTCTGGCGGACTATTTTGATACGTCCGGAGCGCCTGCGGATATCGCTCTGGCCAGTGGAAAGGCCTATTGTAACATGAAACAAAAGTGGTTTCTTCGGGTGCAGCAGCATGTTGGGAGGAAGAGTAGCATGGGTCATGACAATTGAGGCGATGGTGACATGGTGTGGTTGTGTCTGAACGACCTTAGACATTGATATAATTAATAGTACGATACAAGTACAACGTTAGTTGTGGGTGTTAGATACATGTACTTCTCGTACGGTACTGGCATTTCCTGGTGGTTGGGTTCACCAAATCATCTTGCGATACTTGAATCGGGCGCTCTTGACGGTTTGCTTGAACTGCGTGTCATCGAAAGACGGAGAGAAATGTCTCCATGATCATACACGACATGTGACATCCCTTCTCACATTGTATCCGGGCATGCATAAACGGATCTGTGTCCTCGACAATCTGCCTGAAAGTCCAGCTCTCCGCACCCCCCCCCAGAGTCAGTTCGTCCTGTGGCTGTGTCTCATTCCACCAGTTTCGGGCCTCTCCAAATCCCGCTGTCTTCAGGCCCTCTTTGCAGGGCTCTCTGGCCACGTAGACGCCCCGTCCAAGCCATTGCGGAACGGTACAGGTGCCTCCAGATCAATCACAGACGGTATCAGACGAGCCTGGTACACAAGAGGCGTGTTCAGCGGGCCCTGTACGAACAGCTGTTGTGTCCAGGTGAACAGAAACCACTCAAACAGGGTCACTGCGGCGGCAACCACCCCACAGATGGAGTATCCTCGTCACACCGAGAGTTTCTTCAGCATCAGAAGGGACGTGATTACGTCTATCTGAGTCTGTGTCGTGGTATGTTGGAGTTGACAGACTGATGTGTAGGAGTCGAGTATTGTACTGTAGGTACATTGCACTATTTAAGATTGAGGGATGAGAACATCATCACACATTTGGGGGCGGCATTGAGGGTGGTGGGGGCGATAAATGGAGATGAGAGGGAGATATTACCATCAAGCTGAGGATTGGCATTCATTTAAATCCACTTTTGTTGACATAGCGTCATTATTGGTCGGGATATGTGGACTCCATATTCTCCGGCATTTACTTACCGACTCCAAGTATATATGTCAACTGTATGTGGTCTTTTACTTGGGGGGGAAACAGAGAGTCTCAAACTCGAGGAAAAGTGGGTGAAAGAGATTAGTTTTTTTCCCACTGACTTCTTTCATGCCAACATAGTGTATTTCCAATCTTTCTGTTCGAATTTTGTCCTGAAACACGCTGGAAACAGCCGTGTTGTCCAGTTCATCTACAGTTCAGATCCGTCATTTAATCCACCACGACCGTTTTCCCCGTGTCCAACAACGTTATTAGTTCCGCACTGTACGTGAGTCACACTACTTGTAGCACTTCTTCACCGCCACTAACGACATGAAACTGATGCTGAAACCGACCGCGGGCAACCGGCTGCTCAAGGGCATTGTGTTCGACATGGACGGCACGCTGTGCGAGCCCCAGACGTGGATGTTTGGCCAGATGCGGGCCGCTCTGGGTATCGACAAGTCGGTGGACATTCTGGATCACGTCCACTCGCTGCCCGATCCCGAGCAGGAGGAGGCGCAGATGAAGCTGCGAGCCATTGAGACCAGAGCCATGGTCGACATGACCGCGCAACCCGGTCTGCTGCCGCTGATGGACTACCTCAAGAAACACTCGGTCAAGAAGACCATTTGCACCCGCAACTTTCCTGCTCCGGTCCAGCATCTTCTGGATGCGTTTCTGAGCGACCACGTGTTCGAGCCCATTGTCACGCGCGAGTTCAAGCCTCCCAAACCCCACCCCCAGGGCATCCTCAACATTTGCAAGGAGTGGGGAGTGGAGCCTGGCAACGTCATTATGGTCGGAGACAGTGTCGACGACATGGCTGCTGGCAAGAGCGCCGGCGCCACGACGATTCTGCTACAGAGCGACGTCAATGGCCATTTGAACGCCGACCCTCGAACCGATCTGGTCATCAACAGACTGGACGAGATTATCGGGTTGGTTGAAGAAGGTATTGAGCTGAAACAATAGCCAGTGAGCGAGGCAATTGCAGGCGATTCGAGCACTTGTCTGAACCTATCAAAGTTGTGCCATGACCCTTCAATTGTACACCTATAGTCGGTGGCAGGGGTTCCCGAGAATGACCCTACATCGTGGCTCGGTAACACTGTCTATGGCAGGCATGTGTCCACTTTGAATCTGATACATAATGAATGAATCATACTAGACCTGGGTATGAGCTGACGGAGGTCCCGAGTCAGCTCTGGACCGCTTTTTTGGAGTCGCAGATGTCGTGTTCTGGTGAATCCGAATGGGGCACTGAACTGTGCAGTCAAGGAGGAGCTTCCTGCCGGCCGAAGCTAGTCAATGGCTTCTGATGATGTCCACTGGATTTTAACCGGATCAATTGAGTGAACCGAGAGACTCTGTGGAGTTTTCCCAGTCCAGCTACTGCCAGTTGACTGACAGCGGCCGAGTGTGGCTCTCGTCAACCTCATTGACCACATGCCACCCTCCAGAACGCTTCCGCGCAACAATGAGACCCGACACAGTCCGACACCGAAGGAGTGAGAAACAGAGGGCTCGAAACCCCCGACGTTCTACCCTTTAATGACTCAGCTAACGCGAACCTCGTTAACTATCTCTCCTGGCCACGTGACCAAGACTTTTGCGAACTCCTGGTAGGTTTCAGTAAGACTAGATCTGCCACCTCAATGAGACCTTTTCCACTCCCCTGAACCACTTACTCTAGCCATCTAGTATAGTTGACATTCTCGCTGCTCTTTCAACTACGTCAACTAAACCCAACAAAGTCCCAACAACCACAACAAATCTGCCATCGGCCGATATCTGGCAGTTTGAGAGCAACTTTATTGCCAACATACGAGCTTTTTGCGCGCTACTCTGCCGCTTTTCGGCTTTCTTCCCGGTGTTTTTTTTTTTTTTACTTTTTTTTTTTTTCTTACTTTTTCCCGCGCGACTTTGCCGCCCAAACCTTGAGCTCTAATGCCGATCTGGAATGAGATCGACGGGGGTCGTGAGCCCGAAATACAACTCAAACTGGCGATCACGTGATATCTGTCGATTCGTTTCGGCTTCAGGAGTATGTCTGTCTTATCGGTTTTTCGAAACTCGCACTATTCGCTCAAATACATCCCCGATCCGTTCCCTCAACCCACCGACGGATCGACATGACATTCTAGGTCCACCTCGCCGCCGATCCAGCGGTTTTCTGAGAGTTTGAAATGTCCGAGACATGGACACAAACTGTTGAGCAGGACTGAAACAAGAACGCGGCTTCCAAGGGGGTAGCGAAGGGGGGAGGAGCAGATTCAAAGTCAGACTGTGCGTTTCAAACCGACACAAGGTCGGTGAAAAGGCGTTCGAAACGCGGCTCAACAAGTCTGAAACAAGTCGCAATGAAATGTACGCCCGCAAATACACGTACGGCCTACTTCCCAACCGCCCAAGCTGCACAGATCGACCTATTATCCTGCACTAAAACTACCCTGCAGTGACAAGAAGCAAATCACAAAGTGTATAGCCGAACCGACACCACGTAGGGTGCGGTGGCATGCGATAGGGTGCGGTACGGAGCGAGAGGGTGCTGTACGGAGCGGTACGATGCTCGCTGAATCGTCCATCGTTGGGAGGGTGACTAAGCTGATAAGATGAGAGATTGTGAGAGGACAGAGTGCTCCGCAGAGTGAGGGGGGTTGGAACCAAGACAAGTATTGGACTGAGGGGGATGAGTTAGGGAAGGATTAAATCAAGTGCCTGAGTTGCTGTTGTTTGTAGAGAGTGTTTTACGACCATCTTCATAAGTGGTTCCAGGTGGCAGTAATACAATCGAATAGAAGAAGAGGCGGACTTTCGAGAGACGAGATGAGTTGTTCATATAGTAATTCCATGTCCTCAAAATTCCTCAATGTCTTTTTTTCTGAACATCGAGAGTCTTCTGGAGCTTTGGAATGCTTCAAGAGGTAGCTCGTAAGCTGTGGGTACAAGGAGGCTATGTAATATCTCTTCTGGACTCATAGCTAGACAAATTGGCAGCACAAGATGTTAAATGAGTCTTCTAGACCATCTCCAGTTTGTCTTTCATGTCTTTACGAAGGTCCAAAAACTTTTACCAGACATTTCGTTTCCTACCTTTTAATCGCGGAACAACTCATCGTAAACGACCATTTTGGGTCGAAATCGGTCCATTTTTTAGCCAGACAGGTTATTTCAGCCCGTGTATTCTCCAGGAATCCTGTTTATCTGAGCTGATCCTCTCTGCAGCCACCGTCTGTACCCTGCGCCTGGAACAGTGGACGTGAGCATGGAGGTGGAGGTTCTGGGGTTGAATCGAGCGTCAATTGGCTGCTTATATTGGTAGCTAGAACCGATGCATCAACAATGGGTTCCTTTTGTTCCCCAGATACCCGTCGATACATAATTCCACGTACTTGTACTTTCGAGGGGAGGTCGTAGTCTGTCGAGTCCGTCTGACAACGGTCTGGGGACATGTGGGGCTCTTTGGAGAGTCACAAAACGGTTTTAATACGTCAATATCAGACCCATGAGCCTTTTGACGACTCCAAAAACACGGTTTCTATATCCATTACGGTCTTGTTTGGATGGTGTGACTGCCATAAGAACATGATGGAGATACTGTTCAGCTTGGATGGAGAGAAACTGGTTGGTGGTTTTAGCCAGTCTGGAAACTTCAACTAGTTGGTAGATAGTTCACTAACAACTCATCAACCCATAGTCTCTCCAAGACTCAGAGTGACCACTGGTCATGCCTCAGTACAACAAAAGGCCAACTTCTGCGCGACGGCTGTCTTGGTGCGTCTCATGGAGAGAAAATTTTTCATATATACCTCGTCGTACTCGTACTCGTACTCGTACTCGCCAAACCTCGGCTAATTGTTTCACTGGAGCAAATCCGTAGCCTCCAGTGTCTCAGTCCACGGAGCCTGTTTCAACGTGTCTCGGAAGCACCAGATCGAACAAAATCAAGAGACGATGACGAGAATGAGACAAAGCGGGGCCGCTAAAACATCCAAGTCAACTGTTGGAGCTTGTCGGATGAGTTTCCACCGAGTTTGAGAAGATCCAACCAAGTTCAACATTCAAAACGAAGCTCAACATTCCAACGGACCGCCAGAGACAGGTTGGCCAGATAGAAATACAGCAAGTTCAATTTCAGATGGGAATAAAAGCAAAATTCCCATCCGGCAGCTTTTTTCCGGATAAAATGTAATATTGTATGTACTTTACAGACGTCGATCGAACGGCGTGGTGTATAAGAGAACCTTTGGAGGGGGAGAGGCACGTTACTTTCGGTATCACCGGACCATGTCACCAGATTATGTACCCGATCTTGTCACCAGATGGTGTCACCGGATGAGATCATGTGACTTTTTCCTGCCGCGTTCTTCGGGTCTCGAATGTGCGCTTCGACAACGATCGGCAATGATCGGCAACGATTTCGGGTCGGGTCCGGGAGTCTTGGAAAGGACAGAGGCGGAGAAAGATGCAGTTTCTGCTATTACTTGAAAAGTCACGACACGGCATGTGGGCACGAAACCTGGGCCCTTCACCGTGGTTGAACCCGTTGTGATAATCAATGCCACGCGGCCCTGCTTGTCTGAAACATGCCACAATGCATTATCCAGTACGTCTGAAACGGAAGAAACAAAGGCTTGTGACGGTAGAATGGGTGGAGTGGGTGGAGAAACGTGGACATGCGCGCAGAGATTCGGGTCTTACTTGTGATCACGTTCAGACCGAAGACTACAAAATGTAGTCCTGAAGACTCTAGACAGTCGATCTGACGTCCTCGTGGGTCACTAAACTTCTTGGTTCTTCAAATGAGCAGTTCTCCTCACTCAGACGGTGGCATTGCGAAATCTGGACCGTCTTGACCGTCTTGACCGTCTTAACCGTCTAGTCTTGCCGTCTTGTCTTGTCCCTCTAGTCTTGCCGTCTAAATCCCTCTCCAAGCTGAACCCTGGTATGACAAGGACTAGAAAATCTCAAGGGAGTACACGGTACATGCCTTAGCATGACCATTTCGGTTTCTCACCGACTTGGCTGCCCGCTGGAGATATGGCTCAAGAAAAGATCAGTGCTTTCGTAGCAAAGAACATGTTGAAAGGTACAATCTCAGCGAATCGCCATTTGCACATGACATCACGTCCATTATCCAAGATTGGTCCGATGGTCAGTCAGGGTATCAAGTCATATCAAGTCCTAATGAGCCTTCGGTCGAAAAAGTCAGACAATGACCCGCCGTTCCACGTTCCCATGTAAATATGAACATGTCTCGTGTTCAATGGGCTGACAATGGAAACTAGTACCAGCCCACTCTTGAGACGGTGATCAGATGTACAAGTAGACATGTTGAAAGAACGTGGGACCAGAAAACGATGGAACTGTCGACATGAACGAACTCACGCAACACCAGATTACCTTTTGACTGGCTATTCTGGCACTGGTAACTGCTGATGAGCTGCTCCACCAAGTCCCACACAGTTGAAAAGCACCCCTAACATTCATGAGTGGGGGAACTATGAGTATGTACTGTCCAACTACGTCTATCGAACTACAAGTAGGAACTGCCAGTGTTCTAACTCCACCCACCCACTCACGTGACTCACGTGACCTCATCGATTCACATTACTCGCTCTAAAAGTATGGTATATACATAGTCTTCTTCCACCACCCTTCTACGTACTCCTGCTTCCTGCTCCCCCATCCATCCTCCGCTCCCCACCGCCATGTGACATCACGTGACCCCACATCTCTCCTCTTGGATCCCATATCGCCAATCACATGCATCACGTGACTCTTCTTCCCGCGAGAGCACGTGTTTTTGCCCCACCATCCACCGCAGTTATGCATGAAGATCGACAGAGGGGGAGAAAGGGAGACAGAGAGACAAAAGAGGGGGGGGGGGGGGGGGGGGAACCAAGGTCCCTTAACTAAAAAACATTCGAGGGTATATTTTTGTTTTTAACCCAAACCTTTATTTTAATCCT